CAATTCACCTTAGGTGACTTTCTTGACGTCTGCCATGTCCCAAGTGGAGAAGGAACGAGAAGAGATGAGGCAGCAGTTGGCTGCTCAGAAACAGCAGTGCAGAAACCTCCTGCAGCAAATAGCAGCTCTTCGGCAGGAGCAGCAGCATAACATCACAATGAGCGAAGGTAAATTTTGTGCAGTTTGGGTATGGAGATGTGTCCCAACCTGGCCCTGGCTTCTGTGAAGCAGACCTATGGGTTTTGTGAATAAATCACGCTTAAGCAGGTACTGTAAACTACAAATGTCCTTTCCAGATTCCACTATGGATAGTGTTCCAGTGGAGGTTCATGAGGCTTTAAAAACTGCCATGGAGAAACTACAGGTAAGCAAAGGATCTCCTTTCTGCCCCTCTGCCTCACCTAGCTAGATATGCACCCAGTGCCAGACTCTTGAAACACACATATATTGCAGGGGAATAAGTAGCAGATGTTCCATGATAAGCTACTTCCTAAAAAGAGGCTTTCCTCACAACTTGTCTCATCATAGGAGAACTTCCCCTACCCTGCCCAAAGACTGTGTGGGCCTAACACTCATCTATGGTCCTTTCTTAAAGAAATACCTGAAAAACAGACTGACTTCACCCTGCTGGGACGAAGCAGAGCTCTCCAAGAATTGCAGACTAAGTGTGACCACAGTTGTGCTGGCCCAGCAATGAGAAGGCACTTTGTTCCCTCAGTACTTTGTTCCCTCAGTACTTCTGCAGAGATGCTTTTGCTGTGCCTTCTGTAGCTTTGTTCCTTTTTACTACCAAATCTGTGTAGTTGCAGAGGCAACACACTTTGTTCCCTAGGCTCAGACCGATGTGAATGGAGGGTTCTGTCTGTAACACGGCTATTCCTGTATGTGAGCAGCTGAGGTGACTCATACCAATTTTTGTGTTCAGTCCCGTTTCACAGATCTGATACAGGAGAAAGCTGATCTGAAGGAACGGCTAGAAGAGTTGGAACATCGCTGCATACAGCTGTCTGGGGAAACAGACACCATTGGTATGTTTACACAACACAAGCTAGAGCTTTTGGAGCTGAGTCTGCCACATACCAAGCAGTTCAAGTGTTGCTACCTAGATAGGCTAGGCTTCCAGTCCAGGGCTGGATATGCTGGATCCTCCTGTAGCATAAATTTGTGCTCACGGTAAGGCTTTTACATCAATTTCACTTATTCCTTATGCTTCTATTCCTTATGCTTCTGTTGTGTTCCAGGGGAGTATATAGCATTATACCAGAGTCAAAGGGCTATCCTCAAACAGCGGCACCAGGAGAAGGAAGAGTACATCAGCAGGCTGGCTCAGGATAAGGAAGAGATGAAGGCAAGGAATCTCTTCTGTAGTACTAAAAAGACACTGTACACTTGTAGGCAGGCCTGAGTAAACCTTTTGTTGTTCTTCAGCTAGCTTTAATTCTGAGGTTGTAACAGTGGCAAAACAGCAAGCTGTAGCGTACTGTTTTGTGGCCACAAGGATATGCATGTTTCTTAAGTTTTCCTTTGCTTTGGTGCAGATAAAATTACTGGAACTGCAGGATTTAGTGATGCGTCTGGTCAAGGAAAGAAATGAGTGGTACAGCAAGTACGTAGAAGCTGCTCAAAACCCAGAGCTGTTAGCAAGCCAGAATGAAAACGCACTTCCAGTGGAGAGGCGCATCGAACTGAACGCTACTGATGGAGAAGGTAAGCTGGAGACAGAACAAGTTATATCAAATGGAATAACCCAAGGTCTCTGTGCATGGATGGGAGGAGTTACCTGCCTGCTGTGTCTTGTGTGTGCCTTACAGGGTTACGAGAAGTGAATTTAGCAGATGAAGCAGAGCAAGACACTGCTGCTCTTCATCAACCCGGTTTCTACCCTATTGACACTAAAGCTGTTCAGCCAAGCCAAGAGGACCCTACAGCAAAGCAAATAATGCAGCTTCTCAGAGAAATCCAGAACCCTCAGGAGAGGTCGGGCTCCTTGCTGGAAAACCCCTGCATTCCGTTCTTCTACCGTGCTGATGAGAATGATGAGGTCAAAATCATGGTGGTTTAAGTAGCACCATTCTTATTTACAGAGATTTTCTATGAGCCTGCAAGGACTAAACTGACTTGTATGTGCCCATACTGCTGCTCAACACCCTTCAGAACAGTGATCTGCTTTAAAAACAGCAGGAAAGAGGGATTGCATCAGATGGAACTCAGCATCATTCCTTTTCTTCCCTCTGTTACTTGGTGTGCTTGGAGCACAGGCTGAGTGGTGTCGGCTCTTCAGCTGGGCCTGGTGCAGTTTGGGGGCAGGGACTCTGTGACTTCTGGCAAATTCCTCGAGCCCTTGTCCTGTATCCCTGACCAGCACCAGCTCCACAGCAGTGACTGAGCAGCAGTCCATCAGTCACGACTGTAACCTGCCTACTTCCTTCTAAGGCTCCCAAAGTAACTAACTTAACTCTGGTAACAAACTCTTGGGATGGTTGGTTTTGTTTCACACCATGCATCTTAAAACTTCCCACTTTCTTCCTCTCGCAAGCCAGCCTTGACCAGCCACAAGGTGCAGGCTTCTGGCTAGCTAGGCAGCACACAGAGCTTCCTTCATTCAGCGCTAGGGGCTGGGGCTGAGGGCTGCCTTTGGAGTCTTTTTGGTTACTTGACAAAGCTTTATGTGATTAGCGGGAGCTGGGGGTGGAAATGTAACTGCACTTTGAAGGATGATGTGTTTCACTTGTGTGTGTCTGAAGGTTTTATTTATTTTAAAAAAATGGGAGAAATAAGTAAAAGGAAACCACTTAATAAACATGCTTTGTTTTGAATTCCTGGACTCCAGGTTATCTATTGCTTAAATATCTTCTCCCATTTTGGTAAGAAATGTATTAAATGGGTGGAATCCAGCATCCTTTCTCCCTGCTTACATTGCTGGCACACATCAGCAACAGAGTAGTTCCAAACAAAGCCTTGAAGCTGGCAGCCTCACTAAGGAGAAAACACGTGTGCAGAGCTCCTGAAGTAGCAGCAATGCAGCTCCCTTAGGTGTACAGACTTCAGGTGAAGTGCACAGATACCTACACCTAAAGGCTTGGGCACAAACTGCCTCTTTGAAATACGGTTACAGCCTCAGCACCAGAGCTCTGGGGAGAACTGCAGCAGCCATGCAACCCCACAGCACAACCCTGGGCTCGTGGTGGTGGAAGCTGAGCTGCCAAGCAGAGAGGTGCAACCACATGAATGCAGCATCAATTCTTGCATTTGTCAACCACAACAAAGGAAAAAAAGAAACCAAACCTAGAAAAACAACTATTCTTCCTCAGTGGCGAGGTGGCTGAGCTTTAGCAATATGGTAGGAGGATTTTCTCTTTTAATGCCAAAAGTAGATCAAAGCTTTTTTAAATGGTTCATTTTGTCCTTCCCCCCTCCCTCCCATGAAAAGAAAAGTGTGTATGGAACAATTTGTGCTTTCCTGTGAACCCACCAGAGGAATGTGGAAATTGGTTTTTTTTTTCGAACTCTTCATCTGAATGTCTCCAGTGCTGTCTGTGAATGGCACAACACAAGCTGTGTACATACTGTATCTGTGTAAAATGCTGTATATTGCTGGAGGGAAGGCTGGCCTGCAGGCTGGAGCTGCTCATAATCTGTATCATAACTAAAAGGGCAGGGGTGCGACTTAAACAGATTATTATAAATGGAATAAATATTTATTGGGTGTTCTACTCTGTGAAGGAGACCATTGAAGCAGCTCTGCAGGCTGGTGCAGAGGTGACTTAGTGCTGTTACAAATATGCTTCCTGAATAAACTCATTCAGATGGGTACTGGCTAGATGTGTTCTGTTCAGATCTCCTTGAAAGCTGGCAAAAAACAAATTCTTCCCTGTTCAAAACAAACAACAAATGGGCACAGCTCTACAAACTGCTGCCTCAGTACTGCTGCCCTTTCCCCTTCACTTTCATGAATGTTTCCTTGTAGCCAGAGCTCTGCCAGGCCTGAGATTTCTCTCCAGGCTTTTAGCTTCACCCATAAGCCTCTGATTCCTTTTTATCCTTTTCACTCGAGATGTGTTTCCCTGACCCCACTTGTACTCAGAGCGAGCTCCATGCAGACACACAAGTGATAACAATTGCTCAGCTGACACTGCAGCTTTAAGTTACAGCACCCAAACTGCCTCAAAATGCTGGAGGCCAGACGCACTGCATGGACAGCGAGCAGCTGGAGGCAGGAAATGTTCTATGGGCTGCAGGTGGTTGCAGAGGTCCTCCTGCCTGGCCCAGGGAGCTGCTGTTCCCACTGCAACAGCAACCAGCAGATAACACCTTTCTGTTGTGCGCAGTGTGACACCATTAACTATTTCAGCTGAAATACAATGTTCTTTAAGAACAAGCCTGTGTGTCGTCGCAGGGATAGAGGATGAAGCAATAGGACAGAGCAGGGCAAAGACAGAAACAGCTGCAGCACAGAGGAACGGAGCGCTGGAGATGTGGGCTGCTCCACCAACCCCCCAGCAGCCACCACATGTAGGAGCTCTGGGGAGACACAGAGCTCACCCAAATCCTACCAGGGAGCTCCCCCCACACCACGGCAGCAGCAGGCAGGGCTGAGGTGGGCAGTGGGCTGCATTCACAGCCAGGCCCAAAGCGTAGCTCCTGCCAGGGAAACCACAGCTCTTCGCCCACTCGCCGCATCCCACAGCCAGGCCTATGCAAAAACACCACTGTAAGAACCGAGCGTGTGGTGTGCAGGACTCCCACCTTCTGCGTTGTCACCGCTGCACCTCACTGCACCTCCCTTTACAGCAGAGAAGGGCCTTCACCTCTGCACCCGCCGAGCTGCCACCAACGCCTGGCTGCTGCTGCGCATCTGTGCCTCCGTTCCTGTCATGCATGCAGAGCTTTCTAAGCTCTACGGGATGAAAAGACTTGGTTACAATCAAAGAGCTTGGAAATCACCCAGAGAAAGAGCAAGAGAAAGAGAGATGGTTTTATTCTAGTTGTAGAGTCCTTCATTATACAGAAACAATAGTTTATTTCATCCAATTAACGAGAGTGACAGTAGATCACAGACTGCAGCACAGCTACCACCAGCACCGAGACGTTCACCCACAGCTCTGGGGTAACACAGGAACCCAACTGCACACAGCAGAGAATTGAACAGTCGGCTCAAAAATTCAACACTGGGATTTGGTTCACTTCTCAGGATGTATATATATATGTATAGCGATATTCTTTTCCCTACTGAAGCGTTTCCTAATATCCACATGGAAGCACAAAACGGCTTTAAACACCTGGACATATATAGATTTTCCATCTTTATATATATATATATTTATAGATATTTATAACAGTAAAGATACGTTTCTCGTTACTACAATTTCAACTCCTCGAAGCAGCTGGGAATCAAATACAGCTTTACTACAGTCACAGCCGATAGGTGTGTGTCACAAATACAAACAGAACAAACCAGGGGTGAGAGCTGAGTCAGAACACTCCCGGACAGAACAGCTAAGAGCAGGCAAAGAGTCTCGGAGGGAGCAGCACTACATGTCAAATGGTGGCTTGGGGCTCTCCGGGCGGGAGGGGCTGGCCTTACCCGGCCGGCTGGAAACAAAACAGGAAAAGGGGAAAGGAAGGGAGAGGGGGAGAAGCAGTAAAACAGTGGTTAAAATACAGAAAGGAATTGGCATCAGAACAATAGAGGAGCCACGCAACAGAAACTGAAGACACTGCAAAAAGATAACCTTAAAGCAAATCAGCTGCGACATGGGTGGCTCACTGCTGGTGAAGACACAACAGCCCAGATGCACAGGGTGGTATATTTTTAATGCTGAAGTCTTTTTTTTTTTTTTTTTGTAGTATTTTTAATACACATAACATGAAGAGTAGAAATCAAGCCTTAGGGGGATGAGTTGTGATAAGCAACAGTTACAAGTTCCCCAAACACGTACCATCCACATGCAAGAAAAGGCTACGGAAGAAGTCACCACAGTACCCAAAAAACACAGAAAGATGTGCTTATTCAGAGCAGAAATAGCTTCAATAGAACATCACGCAGCAAACTCCCTGAAAACATTGGGTTGTCCGTTTGCAGGGGGAGCAGCAGCAGCCATCCCCTCTCCCTGCTGGGTTGGGGCTGAGCCCAGTGTGATGGAGCACAGCCTGACAGGAGCACGGCTGCACCCACAGCATCCCCGGCTCTGATGGGAGCTGAGCACCAGGTCTGTGTGCTCCCCATCAAGCTCCCCCTCCTCACCTCCCTGCCTCGCTTTGATATAAGGTAGATTGCACTGTTCCCAACATGAGTTTTTGCACCTTGGAAGTCAAACTAATACGCAGGACATTTAATCCGTTCCTAAGAGCGTCACATTTTGACAGCGTTTTCGCTTCTAAGTCACGCTTGTATCTTCTTAACTACAAGGAAGTCACTACAGCTCAGTCCTAGGTGGTGCTACAGCTAGGTGATGCAGGCAGGACACTGATCCAGGCCAGACAGGCGGGTGAGAACAGGACAGACAGCCAACGTGCGGACTGAGGGACGTCCCTGTGGCTGATCTCTCCCAGGAGCCTGTGTTTGTGGGATCCGTGCCACTGAATGAAGGCTACGCTACGCTCACAAAGCAATACGGGACGCACGAGTGGAGACGAAGAGCTCGATCACTAGGCTAGTGCTGTACCACACAGTGGGAAGGGATGGGGGGAGGCAGGTGTGGGATGGATGAGAGTGACTGTGGCTGTGGAAGGGAGGTGGGATGGGGAAGCCGCCAGCACGGCGCTCGTCGCCAGCTGTCTGCAGCCTCGAGTTATAAATCTAAGAGGGACGGTTCAGCCGGTCGGATTATGGTAGGTCGAGTAGGTGAGGCAGGGCCCCTTCTGCTGTGAAAAAGCAGAAAACAAAAAACAAGAGAACACACACTGTGGTTAGCACAGCAATCGCAGTCACAATCACGCATGCTTCTCCACCTCGCCTGAGCCAGCAAGAGAAAAAAACCGAGGCACGAAGCACCAGAGAGCACAGCTCTATGGGGAGGTGTGTCAGTTTGCATGGGGCCCAACCCCGGGCTTTCTGCACAGCACGGATCACCAGCAGGCAATCTGCTGGACGTACAGCTTCGCTGTATTTGTTCATCAAATGCAGGCTCAGTGCCAGCGGGGGTGCTGCCTCTGGAATGAGAGTTGAGAAGCATGGCCAACAGAGAGCTTCTGTACCAAGCACATGACATCACACAGCATGGATGGGCCCGAGATGCACTGCTGCAGGGCTGGCTGGGAGGAGCACCATCCCCTGCCCCCGGGGCTATGAGAGCCTGAGTCCCCCCTGCCATACATGATGCTGAGCTGCTATCCTGCTTGGGCTCAGCAAATGTAACTGCTGCTGACTGCATTAAGGCTTCAGCCACTGCTATTGTTTCAGGTAATCGCTGATACTTTACTTAGGTCTAAGGGCAGCAATTTAATCACAGAGAGAACAAGTTTACGTTCAAGGATCTCCATCGTGTAAGGGACTGGGGGGGGACAGTGGGGAGCAGCACAAAGCACGAGGCAACCCTTCTGCTCTCATCCTCTACTTCAGTGCTCCTGCAGTGTCAGCACGGCAGTGATGTAACAATGATAATTAAATTGCTCAATACCAACCCAGAGTGGTTTTACAATCCAAACTGCCTGGAATGCAGAGAGCAAACCAAACAGGATGGGGGTAAATAAAGAGGAAGCATCTGCGCTGATCAAACAGAACCAGGTGTCACTAAATTAACGCCTGAACACTTCCACGCTGACGAGCTTTAATTTAGATTACAGGGAATCAATTGAGTGCTGGAAATAATGGTGCTCCCAATACAAGAGGAGCTCAGGGGGAGGGTGGGAGGAAGGCAGAGATCTGCACTGCTACGCTGACGTAAGGGAGAAGTGCTTTGCACTGACAGCAAACCTATAATCACACTGGTACCAGAAGAGTCACTGTCCTACGAACTGGGGCACACTGCCTCACCTCGGAGAATGAATCAGAGCAATGCTATGGCCCTGTTTATTAAACCTCAGCAGTTTATTGCTCTATATGGATTCAGCCCAGATCTCAAAACAACTAAAACCTCCCATTCCTTGCCTAGGGTAATGATACCTTAGAAAAAAAACAGAAAACAAACCTTCAGACAGTAAAACATTTGGAAATATTTCCCTGATTGAGAACATCAATGGGGACTGCAAGACTCAGCGTGGCACCTGAGTTACTTTTCATATAGAGCAAATCTGGAAACTATGGGCATCCCAGGTGGGTGCTGAAATACTCATCTCTTAGAAGCAAAACTTGCAGTGAGTTACAGCTGGGGAATCTGTGACCATGGGCTTCATGGCACATGGGATTTGTACACCACTTCCAGAGGTGCTCACAGCTGGTATGGTCACATCTACACCACCTGGTGGCTCACATTATCATGGGAACGGCAGACTGTTGGATTTGACACTTTACAGAGCTGGGCTCAGGTTTTGGCAAGATGCTGCTGTGCTGCCCTGCATCTCAGAAGGCACTTTTTGAAATGCTTGCAGGGTTTTGCACACAAGGAGTTTAGTCTGGTTGTCCTGATCTCTGTGGGTTCACTCAAAAAGGATCCTTGAAGCCATGGGACACAGCGTGCTGGCAAGGGAAGGCAGACCCTACCATAACAGGGCTGAAAGGAACATCAGCATTACTCAGGTAGACACGCTGTCTTCTACGATTCTATCTGCCTTGTAAGGTTAGGGAGGTTGAGAACTACTTCCTAGGACAAAAAGAGTTCTCTCTCCATAACCATTTACCCCTGCAACTCTTTCGGACTGTCTCTACGTTGCTAGTCAAGCCCTCTTACAACACTGAAAAGCCAATCTCTTCTGTCAGAATGAGGAGCAAAGCTTTGCTGGCTGGGAAGCTCATAGCAGCCCCCAGTATGCAGGAAGGCAGAGCCTGGCAGCAGCCCCAGCACCACTCACTTGTCACATCCCTTATCATCTCCAGGAACCAGCAAGTTAATTGGGAGTTCTGCTGATGATAACCTAACAGTGAAACATTGCATTATTCACTTGGGCTGCCAAGGACTGCTATCAGAAGGTTTGGGGTGCTTTTCAACTTTTATTTCCTTGGTGCTCTTTGTGTCAGATTAAGAATGGAACGCCCCATAACAGCGAGTCCCAGAGAGGGGTGCAGACACCGGAAAGCCTCTCTGCACTTACCACAACACACATTTCTCAAGCTGCCAGGATGCCTGCAGCAGGCAGAGCATTGGAGGAAGCTGCTGACTGCTCCAGCACCTCTGCAGTACGTCATCAGTGGGGAGGGCTGACAGATGACGCTCTTACAGAACACACCAACCACTGAACAATCACTGCATTGGAGTGATGCAAGGCAGCACCTCTCTGCTTCAGCTGACATGCAGCACTGACACCATTTACTGTAGATGGAGGCTAGCTGGGAGCTCTCCTCATCTGACCCAGGGACTGCAACTTGTGCCATTCCTATTAAGACAGGCCTTTGGCACATGCTCCCCAGCCAGCATCAAGGAAAACTGTAGGAGCTGCTGCTGCTCCACTCCTTTCGGAGTCAGACCTTTAACTTCTAAATGCAGAGGAAGGGGGAAGGAGCCCCAGACAGTCACATCTGCCCTGACCTTCCCCTCTCCCTCTTTGCTAGGTAGGGCTAATGGTTTGTAGGGGAAAAAAACTGAGAGAATTTGCTAGATCTCCCTCTTCAAACTCCATCATTGCACCACTGAGGGGACAAGGAAGAACTGGCCCTTGAACGTAGGGCAGCACAATGGACATGAGCCTGGCCCAAGAGCCCGTTACTGAGGAAGTACAATGCTGCAAAATGCAGGGAGAGATAGGAGAGGGAAGCAGGCAGGAACCCAAGCAGAGTTTCAGGGAGAACACAGATCACAAAGATCCTTCCTCCTGCAAGGGCACGTGAGGAAAGGCAGACTGAACAGAGGCAGAAGAGTAAAAAGAGGTAGAGGGTCAAGTGGAGAAACAAAGGGAGTCTGCTTCTAATTGTGATCATGGGACAGAAGGGTAACAGGGAACATTCAGTGTCAGAGTTATCCTATACCCAAATATATATACAGCAAAGTCCTGCTGTTAATGACCCAAACAGCTCCTGTCTTTCACAAGCACACTGAGGAAGGGAGCACTTCTCCAGTGAGACATTAAAATGTAAGCAGAGGAGTCTGAACTGACAGCTCCCCAGGTCTGTACCTCTATCCTAACAGAGCTGACAAACAGGATCAAAACAGAATTCATTCAGTTCATCCCCCACTCAGTGTGGATATAAGCCAAATGAAAGACACACCGTTTAGACCGTGTTGCCAGAGCTCATTCCCCCATCCCATCTCCTCTACCTGAGGGCAGAGAAAGGATCCTCCAGTAACCACAAGTCAGGTACTGGGGCTTTCCTAGCCCCTGCAGCTCAAGCAGCCTCTCCATCTCTGATCAGCCAGCTTTTCTGTTCTAGACTCCTCCCTTTATGAGATCCTGGCAGACGTGATTCATTGGACAAGGGACTCTGACTAACACAAGGACAAGGCAGCAGAGGTAAGCTGCAGAGCAAAGTGATGGAGGATGGGGACACAGTGACTCATGCATCGCAGAGAGAGTGCAAAACGTACCGTGGCTGCCAGTCCTCAGGGGTCACTGATAGTGATTCTGAAAGACAACATGAAATCAACATGGCAGTTCAGACAGTTCAAGGCAGAGGCCAAACAGACTGTCAGGAAGGTGGAACAGACAGACATGCGCTTGCACAGAGCCACATTCGCATGCCCCCCCCTCCCAGAACACCACACAAGTGTGCACTGCTGGGTAGGGCTGCACTCGGCCATGCAGGACTTCACATCCACTCACAGCCTCATCTTCACACACACCCAAAACCCTGCCGTGCACAGTTTATCTACCCACACACCACCAGCTGCTGCTCATCCTCCCACCCAGCTAGATACACACACAGGTCTACTGGCACATCCAGACTGAGATTCTGAGCACAACCTCACACCTGCTCGACTCAGGGCTCAGCACCAACTGCCTGGGCACGGATGGGGTGACCTGGCTCTCACTGAGGATTCATATCTTCTGACCATCTCCTGACCGTATACTAAGTGTCAGAGTTGAACAGAGAGCTCAGGACAGTGGAAGGTGTCATGGTGCACTGAGCACTGCCCAGAAGACAAAGACATTTAAAAGGTCACTAATCACGAGGTCATTACTTTGAATCCTGAATAACTCAAGTCTAAAAACACAGAAGTTATGCTTACAGTGATGCTGGTTTGCTTGCATCATTTTTTCCTCAGGCTTACCAAAAAACAGAGAACTCATCACTGCTTTCAACGTGTTTCTCCAGTAGTTAAGTTATTCTCATTTAAACTTCCTTATTTCTCCCTTGAACTTGCCTAAATTCTTTCACCTACAGTTTTTGTCAAACTGTTTTAAACTGAAGAGACTAAGTACCTGGAGGAGTGTCTTTACAGCTTCCTATTCCAGATAAACTAAACAATTTCCTCCTAAACAGCCCCAGTGGGCATCCAGCCCAAATGCAGCCCTTCACTGCACAGAGACAGGACCTGGCATTATCTGCAGCTCCCAAGGGTACGTGTTTGGTATCACAGGCTTCTGCATAAATTCTGAATAAATGCTATGTACAGAGGCATGGTGGAAAATCAGCTTTAACTGTACTTAATTACATGCAGGAGAACCTTCCTATGGAAGAAAATGGACCACGTGGTGTTTGTATGTGAAAGCATGTGTCTATGCAAATATACGTACGAGAAAAGTATAGCAACATTTGTCTTGAAGTTCATCATCCACAACATCAGATGTGCCCACAAACAGTGGCACAAGCACACAGCTGAACTTTACATAGGTATCACATGCACATAGCATACACCCAGCCACCACCACGCACCTCCAGCTCCCAGAGCCCACTCATGCCACCTACATGAGCTCTTTTCACACACGCACGAAATAGTGGAGCCCAGTTAGCAAGGAAAAAGATGGGTATTAAAAAAGCAACAGTGGAGATGGCATTCGTTCACCCATGGCAGAAGGACCCGAGTCCAAGTGCTAGCAGGGAACATTCTTATTCTATATACAGGAGAAGAGGAGAAAGAGTCCCTTGTCATTGGAAATTCTCCATTCATCAGTGAACTCAAATGACAAGCTGGTATCAGGATCCGGAGGAGTCTATGAACGACTGGAAGAATCAGAGAGGGGGGATCAGAGAATGAGCATGAGAACTTCTTCACTTCACAACTTCAGGAACTAACTTTCTCAACTCCAGATCAGGGCAGTCTGTAGCATGCATTCCAGCCCTCCTTCTATACCAAGGGGTTGCTAAGCATGAAACACTTTCTTCTGCTGCTCCTGTGCAGTTCCCCACGTTCCCCTAAACTCTTCTATTTCACACAAGGCAGAAAAGCCATTAAGGTAAGCTATGACAGATTTCATTAAAAAAAAGAAAAAAAAAAAAAAGAGAGAAGGCCAATTCATTCCAGCCATTTGGGGATCCTATCATGACCAGGTATATAGAATATTTTTCATGAGTGAAGAAATGAAACTGTGAAAGTAGAAAGATGGAGACAGAACAAAATGTAAGTATACTAAAAACAAATCCACAAAACAGAAGTATATGGAAAAGCAGGTTCACAAAGAAGCAAGAGCCAAAAATACACAGCAAAAGCATGCTGACATCCAGAGGTGCCACCTGCAGGACTGCAGTCCCTGGGGCAGTACTGAGGCACGAGTGGGCAGGTTATGGAGGACATGTGCTGAAAACTGGGGCAGAGGCACCAAGAAAGTAAAACTATTTGCACACACCCAAGCCAGGAACAGATTTATCTCTTTGGATTCATCTGCTTCTGGGCTGCGTGCAGCCTGAGAATATCCCCAGTCCAAACAGGCAGTGCCAGGTAAGAGCTGAGGCACCACCACCCAAGGGAAATGTTCCCACAGGTGTGTCACTGAGTGGGGGTTATGGTCATATTCATTCTTTATGCTGCAATTGCTTTCTCTTCCTCACAGGGAGATCAGGTACCAACCACACACATTCTTGGTCCCAAATTGCTTCCCTGGTCCTCTTCAGGACCAAGCGTGTAGCCTCCCAGGGGATAACCCCTTATTACTACATGGAAGGGTGTATGAAGTGACTGAACAGGACAGGAGTTACAGTTCCTAACAGGAAAGCAAAGCTGTGTCACCTGAGCCCTTCAGGCTGGAAAACATTCAAGTTGACTGCAGAAACAACAAAAATGTCTACAAAAAAATACTTCCCTGCCAGTGCTATCACAATATTCACTTAATAAAAAAGCATCTAAATATCCTAGATGAAGATTCTCTCTAACCTCACCTTGAAAAAAACTCTGCCAGGAGAAGGGCAACTGCAGACTTTGGGGAATTCTATACAGAGGGGAACTGCCTTGAAAGGTATGCTGTTACTCTAGTCCTGTGATTTTCTGGTGACCACCTACTACTTGCAAGCAGAAGAATTATGATTATTTTATTAAAGCTCTCAGATACCAGGTCCTCTACCCCCAGCCTGTGCATGGAGTCTGGTTTGGAGAGGAGGCTGCCCTTCTGTTCTCAAGAGCTGCCTTAGCAGTGCATCATTTGTAGTGGCCATAGGCTCCTGCCTACGGATCAAATTCAGGCAGCCCAAGACTGAACCCAAACCAAGCATTCCAACTGACTTGTATAGTCCAGGCAGAACAGATACTGCCAGAACTGCTACCCAAATTCCGGACACACCCCACCTGCCTGGATCTGCACTTCAGGACTTACCTGGGAACACCAGGAGGAGCACGATTAGGTCGAGAAGGAACCTGAGGTGGGGGCCCAAAGGGATCAGGAGAGGCACCTGGCCTGGAGGGCACTGGGGGGGCACCACCCAGCGCTGACCCACCAGCAGGAGGTGGCCCAGGAGCCGGGCCTCGAGAGCCAGGCCTGGCGGGGGGCACAGCGGGAGCTCTCCTTTGCGGCGTGGGGCTGGACGTAGGAGACCTGACAAACAAACAGAGACATTCAACTGCAACAACAGGCCTGGGATTCCTCCCCGCCACTGTCACCATACGCTGCCTTTAGCGTTCCTCCTTTAGTTCCACATTGCTTCAAGCACAACTCTTGGCTTTTGAGAGCTGCGTCAGGTTTCACGTTACCTTCAAAGCTAACTTCAGGTCCCATCTAACCTAAGAATCACTTCTAAGAGTCTGCCTCCACATCTTCTGTAAAGATGCAGCAGCCCTACAGCTTTCAAGGCACAGAAGCCTCCCCGCACAAATACCCACAACTCTCCATCCACAGGCAGAAGAGGGGAAAAGCAGCCCCTCTGTCTCAGTGGGAGGCCCCAGCTAGCCCTAAGAGGCATCGGGCAGGTCTGTGGGCTCTCCCCCTGGGCCTCTGGTACCTGCGTCCAGACGGTACGCTCTGCACCTGCAGCCAAGAGTCGTCCACCGGTGGGGGCATTGGGGTGCTGATAGTGCTGGTGTTGATGTCCCCGATGATGTTGAGGGCCTCTTTCAGGGCATGGTACATGCGCAGCATTTCGTCACGTCGCTGGGCCTGCTCTGCTGATTCCTCCATCAGAGTATTCTGGTCGCCACAGGAGTACAGGTTTGCCAGCAGCTCCGAATGAATGAAGTCCTTTGTCTGCCAAGGAACAGAACAGAGGGAATCAGTTGCCAGCATCTTCTAGAATATTTCGTTCCACCTCCACCCCAAACCTCCTTTCAAGCTGCCTTCAGGTTTCTGCCCTCTCCCCGTTTTTCCCCATCTCTACGGCTCTCCACCTCTACCAGTCAGGGTGATAAGTACATTGTTTATCATGAGGTGCATGATTGTCTTCGGCATGAGGTCTCTGATGGTTTTGTTGACAATTGCCATGTAGGAATCCACCAGATTCCTGATCGTTTCCACTTGTCTCTCCAGCTGAGGATCCATGGAGTGCATGAAACTGTCTGATCCATTCTCCTCTGCTTCACTGGCCTGCAGAGAAAGGCAGAAACAGAACAGTTCTTCAATCATCATACAAAATTAGTTCTTCCATAACAGCTCAATAAGAAAAAAAAAGGGGGGGGAGAACATGCAGAAAGAGCATGCAAGGAAACTTAAACCTGTTTTTTGAGCTGTGACTGTCAGTGCACAGCTCAGCTTGCAAACCTTTCTCTAGAGATGCTCTCTAACAGTAAAGATGCTCTTTAAGAAGGAATTAGCCCCATGAAAGATGGAAGGCAACAACTCCTAACCAATGTCTACAGGCCACGACTCCAGTGAATACCCAAAGCTATACTTTTGACTTCTAGCATTTACAGCCTCATGGGAGGTTCTTCATTTGAGCTCTACTTTGCACACCCAGATACATTTCAAACCTGAGAATCACTCACCATAAATTAAGGCTCTCCTACACACTGCATCCTTATCATTATACAACTGAGGAAACAGATACAGGGAGGTGAGATGACTGCAAGCAGGCAGAATAACCTAGAAAACCTGCCAGAACATTAACTGAATATCCTGCATCACAGCTGCTGCTATCTTTTCTTCTGCACAAAGCAGAAGATTCTTGTCCCCTCTGCCTGAAATGCACTGTTTGGATTTCTTTAAGGGAAAGCCAGGAGCACACTTGTCTGACAGCAAGCAATTGCCAGGGCTCACCCATTGGAGATCAATTTCTAAGCAATGGACCACAAAAGCCTTTGCTTTTCTCAATGCTTATTGCAAAGAAACCTGATTTTAAGGAAACACTTTTCTTCAAACCATCCCAGTGACAGATTTGCAGTACTGCAGAAAATTACTCATCTACTTTTGCTTTGGGGAGCAAAAGATACCAGAAAGAGCAAATTCCTTTGTCCATCTGAGCTTTTCCAAGGAAGTAATAATGAAGCAATAATGAAGTAATGGAAGGCCTCAGTGAGAAATGTAAGCTACAGGAAGTGGAAGTCAAGCAGGACAACTCAGAAAAAAAAAAAAAAATGAGTGTCAAAAGAACAAAAACAGATTTCCAATAAGATCCAGAAATCATATTTTTAAAAAAAGGATAAATAAAAAGAAAAAAAAAACAGGAAAACTCAGATCAAGAACAGAAATAAACAGCAGCACCCAACAGAAGGTATAAAGAGGGGAGAACCAAATGCCTCCTGGAAAACAGTGACAAAAGGAAAAAAAGAACTATATACAGTGGGAGCCCCAGGAGGCAATACAGGGAGGATCAGACTTACTTTGTCCTTGTCCTGGCAGGTCAGTTTGAGCACACATGAAAAAAATTAAAACAAAAAAGGGACAAAAATGAAAAAAGATTTTTAGCTGGTCTTAGAATTCGGAGAAGATGTTAAAATAGCACTGAGCAGACAGAAAACCAATCCCACTAACAATTATATATAGGTATTAATACCTAAGTTACTCTGGAAGAGGAACAATGTAATTGCCTAGCTAAATTGGAACCCAGAATGGCATGATCTGCAAAGGAAATTGTGTTATTAGTGATAAAGGGCAATTAACACTTCCCTACAACAGTTATTTGGTACCCCCTACATTGGGTTTTGAAACTGTCAAACTAGAGACCAGTGTTTCTTTGTCACGCCACTCCATTTGCACACCAATAGGTGGCACATGGCCTTTGTGAATGTGTCTAATAGCCCCAGCCTGGTTCACAGCCAACCTGAAGTCATGTCACAGTCCCTAATCTTCATATTCATACCACATCAGATTGTCAGGAAACACATTTTGGCAGAAATGCAGTCTATCCTCAAGTGTAACAGGAAAGATGAATGCAAGAAGTCTATTAGGAGCAGCAGATACAAACAGATAAGCAATTATCACTTTTTTAATGGAAAAACTATTTATAGCAGCTTCCTCTCACACAGAAACAGGAAAAACTTGGAACAGGAACTTATAGCACAGTTCTCTAAAATGCTTATAAAGCAGAGCAGAATGCTGACAATAGCGCTGCAGGACGAGGTTAAGGGAAGAGGAACAGGGAAAACTCCCTTACTGGGAGGGGAAAGGAATGGGATAACAAATACAGAAAAGCTGGGAAGCTCCTTACAATGCTGTACAGTGAATGATACTGAGAAGCAATGGTGCCTGGGCTCAACAGACACACGCCACTTAGTAGTCAGGCAAAGACCCTTAATACTGGGGATTTATTGCCCATAGAACATAAGAGCTGAGAGGATTTGTCAAGGCAGTCTTTGCCTGCTTTACCTCCCTTTGAGGATGCCAGGCTTGCTTAAAGGAAGCACCAGAACAGCAAAAACCCTTAATTTGCCCCTGACACGGCTGTAACTTACCCCAACACGTTCTGGGTAGACGCCTGCACGAAGGAAGGAAGCCTTCCAGCTATCCACCTCCTCCTGGGTCTCACAGGCCAGCTCCAGCTGTCGGTAGTCCTTGTAAACATTCCTGAGAAGACAAACATTTCACTCGTACCCATTGCAAAACAGGCAGCTGCACATATTTGACAAATGTATCAAATGACCAGGAGATCTCATCGTTTTTAGGCAGATACACTTAGTTCCCTGCTGACACCCTCACAATGTCTTCGCAGAGGAAGAAGGAAAATCTTTTATGGGCAAGTCTGAGTCCCCATCAGTTACACCTTCAAGCCTCCAGTTCTAAAAGCTAGGATGTCAACAGGAACTGAAAGGTTACCTTCTCAATCCTGCTTACTGTTGGACTTCTTCAGTCAACCTGGGTCCCCCGTTCTGCTATGAATGTCCCTATTCATGCACTAAGAATCATCATGTTTGATAATAAATTTGTACTTCAACTTCTCATTAAGAGTTCCCCATCCCTCTCAACAATTATCCTTAAAGGACAGCTATCTGAGGTGGATGCACACCTCTAAAAGCACTCATCTCTAATCCTCTGCACTAAGATTGTATAAATCCTGCCCCTAGCTCCAACAGTTTGGTGTATTGAGATGTGAACACACCTCTGTTCAGTGTTGAAGAGAGCAAAGATGTGCTTGCTGGACATGAACCCCTTCTCAACATCTCGCAGTTTCAGGTTGTCCACTGGCAACATGTACTTCTTCTCCTTCTCCTGAAAAGCAGATCAGTAACAAGTCACTCACTGCTCCAGTAAAGGCTCTGCTCATTGGGATGGAGGAGGCTGTCAGCAACACAGCCCTCGTGGCACCAGGGGCACTGGGAGGCCCCCTCAACCCATCCTGGCAGCCTCGAGCCTTCCTGCTCCACAGACTTTAATTCACCTCTTTAAGCTGGTTTTCATTTCATTTTGTCACCGTCCTATGCTCTGAAAGGATTCACAGTAACCAATAATATCTTATTTAAGGACAATATGCATCAAAACATCAAGAGCAGGTCTGGTTACAATAAAGGATACTGTAGGACTACTTGAACGCTTCCTGGGTCGAAAAGAAGTCAAATAATTGCACTCAATGAAAATCCCATGCACTAAATAACTGGAAGCTCAAGCAGTACGGGCTCTTTGCTGCTTGGCTACTGTCAGAAGTCACAGCCTACAGTTCCAGTGATCACCCTCAGACAGCTTGGAGGAGCCCCATTAACACCACCTGCGACCTTCCAAGCACAGTTCCTATGAGGTATCTCCAGCTAAAAGCAGAGCAAGGCATCCACCAAACCAACCCAACAGCTTTGGTCCCAGGTATCATCCTTTTAAGAAACTCGATCCTAGCTTCTGAACTAAGCATCAAAGCTAAGTCAGAAATCATTATTCCTGCTTAGTTTTAAATCCGGTTCTACAGCAAATTAGCAGGTGTGAATTTGGGGTGAAACCCCATTTTGAACCTTTTCCAGCTGGATATTATACACCAAAATAACAAGAGAGGGAGCCATCACACAGGTCTCTAAGAGGCAGAACACAGCTATCCCAAGACCAGACAGAAAGAGCATGCTTGTGTATGCAACAACCCAAGTGCAACTGCTTTCTTGTGAGCATCTCTGTCTGCAGACTTTCATTAATTAGAAATAAAAATACTTTTATGCAAAATGAGAGCAAAAAGCAAGATGGTCAGTGAGCAGAGATCCCAAATATCCATACAGGGGAGAGGGGGAGGGCAGAGCACAGATAAGGATGACAGAGTTGCTGAGCTCAATCACCCACGGGAGAGCAAGACCAGCCCAATGTCCTCCAAAGTTACAGTTAAATCTGCTCAAGTTTAAGGACACCAGGCATTACACAGCTTAGTGAAGTCCCAGAGATCAAAGTATTTCAGCTAATTGCTAGATTTATGCAACAGCAATATCCTTAGAAGAAGTGGCATCCAGAAAACAGAAGAGAGAACTTGGGAAGCTGCCAAACTCTGTGTTCTCTCCCCAAAAAGATAGTGATCTTTAAAGCAAGAAAGCTCTCCCAAGCAAGTTCCCCTGGAATTTTGAACATTGCCAGGCTAGATTCTAGATAGACAAGCATTTTTGTGACGAGATGTGTCAGCCAGGCGCTGCTCTCAGCCACACAGCCCACTCTGGGCTCTGTAAGCCACAAACAGCTTCCAGCTTTCTGCTGCTTTCAGTTATGGCTGCACTGGGTCAGGTTGAACTAGTGACCCAGAAGTGAGGTACACCCACTGCTAACTCTCCAGGCAAGGCAGCCCACCCCTATGTCTAACAGAGCCTTGGAAGCAGTAAAATCCTGATGAGAAAGTTGTCAGAGAAAAATCATTCTGTGGTGTCAGAACCACAGCGTTCCATGGAAACGCAGCAATAAGGTCATTCTTCAGGGATGAAAGTCAAACAGTAAGGGAATCCCATGTCCCAGATACAGAAATGCACGCTCTCTGCCAGAGTTTCTACTTTCTCCCACTCTATGCTCTTGTATAAATGCTGCCAAGTGATCAAGGCAGCACTATCTCTGCATGCTGCTCTTTCCATACACCAGAAGACAGACCCATGTAACTGCCTGCCAGCAGAAAATCATAGCCCTCGGGCTCCAAGATAGAAAAAAAAACAATCAAACTGGAGGTCACTGCTGCAAAGCAGCAACCCCCCAACCCACATATGCTGCACACAGCAACGAGCCCCTGCTGCTCTCCATCTCCCCACACCTCCTGTAAGTTCCCCCCCTTAAGCCCTTCCAGCTTCTCAGTTTTCAGCCCAGCCTGTTTTATATCAACACTCTGACTTCATTTCCTGAATGTAGAGACAGGAAAGTGTGGAACGAGCTGCCAAGGGCTGAGCCTCTCAAAACTTTGGCTGAGCCCTCTGCCCATATGTTAGTAATCCAGCAGTATGTGCTACGGCTGAACAGCATCCTGGCCAAGAGGGGAAAAGGGCTTCTCTTAAACTTTCAAGAGTTGGAGATGGGGAGAGAAAAAGTGCATATTGAAGTGGGAAGGGTGGTTTGAGAAACACAGTGTTGGAAGCCCCCAGTCTGATCCCAGGAGGCTTGTAAGATCTTCCCTCATCTACAGGAAAAAAAAAAAAAAGGATCAAACTCCCTCTCATCAGCATAATGTCGGCTCTGTAAGAAGTGCACGTGGTCTGGAAATGAACCTGTAAAGCCATGAGGCCAAAGAGGGGGCAGAAGGGGCAGAAGCACTCAGACTGACCATACAGGAAGGACTGTGGATGCTGTGTTGGCTACAGAATGTTGCAGACATGGGGTTAAACTTCCCCAACTTCCCCTAATCTGTCTGCTGTGTCCAATCAAGTTACACCATTTGCAGGGAGATAACAGCAAACTACTTGCAGAGGCAGAGAACGTGGCAAAGGATTACCCCCTCACCCCCAGCACGTACAGATACAGCCAGGCACAGATGCAGCTCTGCACTTCACATCTACCAACACAGAGAGAAGTGCACATTGCCAGGAGGAGTTCAGGGGACATCAGCCATTCCCAGTTGTGGGCACAAGCCACAGCAGCAGGCTGGGAGAGGAACGCTGCAGTTGCACCCTGATGATCTCACACAACTCCAGTTTTAGTCAGAGGCAGAGATGGTTTATACAATTATCTGAATATCTGTTGCTATCCCGTCGGTTATAACCTCCAAGAAATCCACAGAACTCAGTGGGAAGCAAGCCAGCCTGACTCAAAGCACTTCCTCCATTCAGCTGCACTGTCCCAACAGCGACTTACGTTCTCCTGCTCTTAAATACATGTGAAGTAATGCTGGCAGATGCATGTGTGGGCTCCCCTAAGGCTAGAAATTGGCACTTGCAGTCTAAGAAAATAATTGGCAGAATTATTAGGTCTCAGTTTGCGTTCAGAGAACATGAAGTAATTAAAGGTTTCCCTGTAGCTGTTATGACAAGCACCTCCTCTTGCAGTGAGATGAGGGTCTGTGGGGATGGGGGAAGGAGCACTGCTGTGTTTTGATTTGTAGCCATGTGTAATGAGGGGCAATCCATCTTTCTTAAACTTCTTAATCTCCCTTCTCATAAAAGGCAAAGCTCCATATTGGGCAAACAAAAGATGGAGTAAACAAAGCTGCCCCAGAGATGGCTGGGATTGCAGTGAAATCATTCATAATGCTTTGGGATCTCCTCGGTAATTCTCAAGTAGAAAAACACATCAGAAATGAGAGTAAACCTCCTTCACGGACACATGCACTGTATGCAACAGTATGTTAGGAAGAAGCCTCTGAAAACCAGACGGGATTCTCTGAAAGCAAGTTGAGTGCTTCAAACTGAACCCCTTCTCTAGGCGAGATGCTACCAAGCACTCATCCTCGTGTCTCATTTTCACAAGGAAAAGGCAGCTAGAAGAGCCGAATTCCTGAGCTGCAGCTCTTCCAGGAAGCCCCAGTGACCCCTTACAAATATCTCCATCAGTTTTGGAGAGCACAGTCCACCTGCATCACTCTTTGACCTTCAGAGCATAATTTTTACTAACATAAATTACCGGACACTGATCACCACCCCAAGCTGCAAAGCAGCTGTAATGGCTTGTTTACAGAGGAAAGCTACATTGGTTTAACTTAAACAACACATCCTAAGATTTTAAGCTGATTTAGTTCAAAAGCTCTGCAGACACTGGGCCTGAACTCATGTGATTAATCACCATCATTACTGCTGGCTTAGTAAGCACAGCAATGGCAATCAGCTGCACACCCATTTCTCACCTGCTCACAAGTACAGAGTCAGATAGCAGCTGAACTCACACTCAGATTTAAGCATGCAGCTTAGTGCAGGGCTGCCTGCACCCCTAGGAAGCCATCATTAGAAAACATACCAATACCAAGCAGCTTAAGAACCAAAGGGGCTGTAACACCCCAAAGCCCCATCGTGACCTCAGTGAGTCACAGCAGTGCCGTCGGCCTTTGCAAAGGGTGAGCATGCACTTCTCCCCATGCCTGAGCACCGGGCAGAGCTGGAACATCCCTGGTGTCGAGGTGGTTGGATGAGGCAGAGCACCACACATGCGCAAAGCATCGCGCACCTCCAGGAAAAGGAAAGGCTTGGCTACATGCTTAGGGCCAAAGTGGGAGCTGTGGGTATTCGTATTTTTAGCCACAAATCATAAGCGTCCACCAGCGTGCACAGAAGAGAAGGCGACGCTGGAAGGGAGACACGCGGCAAAAACAAAGCCCTCTTTATGCCTGCGGCACCAGGGAGAGAGGGAGCAAACCACTGGGTTAGGGAACATCTGGAATCACTACATGGGAGCCAAGCGCCGCAGAAAGCAACGGCATTCCTCAAGTTTCCATGCGAGGTAGGGAACCTTCCTTTCCCCCGCGCAACCCTACCCTCCAGCCGGCTCACTTCCTGCCAACCTCCGGCCTTCCCAGCAGCCAGCAAGCTCCTCCCTCGAGTCTAGTTAGCTCTCCACTGCCACGTCAATTGAGGCAGAAGGACAGAAGGGAAGCAAGAAGGGAGGGAGCAAAAACCAGAAGAGGGAGGGAGGGAGGCTCTGCAATGCCAGAGATGGTGGGGGGAGAAAAAGACGGGATGTGGATTGCTCCTGCAGTAGCCGGAGGCGAGCTGCACAGGCAACTGGCCAACGTGGGTCAAAGGACCCTTTTGAGGACTTGGAAGCAAAGGCCGATCTGGGTTGAGCTCTACTCCGCACTCCAGGCAAAGGGCCGATCTACTGGACAAGCTGGGCAGGAGGAGCTGAGGGTGCTTGGGGCCTGGGAATCCTCCCCACCCAGCTCCACCAGCTGTTGTGCCAGATCTATCAAGGAGAAGAGGGGTTGAATAGAGCAGCAAGTTCTGCACACCTGGGCGACAGCCAGAATTTCACATTTCCTCTTAGAACTGCAGTAATTGATTTATTTTTTCTCTTCTCTATAGGAAGGTGCAGAGTGCTCCAGGTGGAAACAAGGTACCAGCCTTTGGACACCAGCGCAGGAAGGAGCTTGGAGGCTTGCTCCAAACTGGAAGCATACAGAGAACGAGATCACTTCTCAGCTGCCAAAGGGAGGATGTTTCTTCCATCTGGACTTGGACATTTCTTCACCCCACCTCTGCCCCCAAAACCCCATCCCAAAGGCAGGGAGGGGAAGGACTAATGAGCTGCTGATAGCCGGAGAGCAGATCACAGAGGCTCCACTCCGTCTGCCCAGTGTTCAGACTACCTGTTCAGGACTACGAGATTGTACAGTAGTCTGCACATTGGTTAGGCTGTGCTGGGATACACCACACACTGCCAGTGCTGCACGGGGACGGCAACACCTGCACGGCAGAGGGACATGCATGGAGAGGGTGGGCTGCATGCAGAATTCACCCATCTCTCAGCCTGGGAGGATAACACCACCCTTTGAAGCCATGCTCGATCACTTTTACCTGCCTGCTTACCAGCCTGCTCACATTCTTCTTACTCTTTCTCCACCTCTCCTTCATTCCCTTCTCAGCCATCCATCCTTTCTTTCAGCTCTGTGTACTCGTCCCAGGGATGGCTGCGCTAATGATGGCTTGTTTCACGCGCTCAGCTTTGCCATAAAGTGCAGAGAGAAACAGAAGGGCCTGGTGGAGCTACAACTGCACTGCACTTTGCTACCTGAGAAGGCACGATGGAGCAGAGAAAGGTGAACGGAGAGAGGGGAATTCACATCTTAAAGATTGCTGATGATTTGAAAAAAAAAGAAAAAACTAAAGGATTGAAAGTTGGAGGTTTGAATGCTCTGGAAGTTGTGTTTGCTTTGATGTTTGTCTGGAAAATAAAAGAGAAACAGTGAGTGAAAGTATAAATGAGGACTGAGTAAGAGAAAAGAGTTTATCCAGGGGAAAACTCTTCTTTTGAAGAAAATAAATGAATCAAGGAGCTCCACAGATGATGTAAAGACGTTTCACAGAGCAGCTAAGAGTGCTGTGAAAGCAGCAGAGGAAAAACCTACATGCAGACCTGCTTGTTAAACAAAATGGGCGCAAACACCAGGATGCAGCTGGACCAGAGGCACCACCTTGTCACCAGTTTGAGGAAATCAGAGCAAAGAAAAGATTCCTAGCAGCTAACCTGGGCATCAAGGACACAGACTGGTGGGGCAGAGGTGGGGCAGGTGGGGGCTGCATGCATGTACTGCAGGGAAACAACTTCACTATTGATCAATGTACTTATTTCTTAAGTAGAATTGGGTTCAAGACACCAAAAAAATACAGGATAAGCAGCCAATGACCGTCAGCAAGGTCATGTTCTTCCCAGAACAGGAGAGTACCTTTGTACTCCAACCAAAAGAAAGGCATTGAGAGCCCAAGCACAAGCGATGTGAGAGGAATCAACACGATGCATAAAGAATCTGAAGCACCCTCACATATCCACCTGAAAGCACCAGGAACTCTGCTCCTATCCCTGCTGTACGCAGACAGGAATCACAAGGCAGCAGCACTGCATGCAACACATGCTTGCACACAGCAAGTAAGGCCATGTTCTTCTGTGTAGTCACCTATTATGCAAATCCCACATTTCTAGTAGGTGATTTACCTGAGGACAGAAGGTCCATCTGTATCACACATTCACACAGATTGCCAAAGGAACAGCAGATCTCTCCATCTGCACGTGCACTCCTGTGGACACTGACAGAGCAGGGAGTGCAGGGGTCCCTCCAGCAGGCAGCAAGCTTTACTGACAGCAACACAGGGCTCACTGCATCCTGCCTGCCAGCTCCCCAGCACCACATGCTCTGGCCCAACTCACAGTCCCTCTTTTGCATCCAGAGGAAAAGATGTGCAGAGAAGTGGACACTGAGGATTTCACAGGGGATTCAGGCAGCACTGTTTGAATCAAGTCTTTGTAGCACGCCTGCTACAATGCTTACTGAGCAGTCAGACAGCATGCTGTGGTACTGCTCCAGCACTGGGGACTCTGTGGCTTCCCTGAGCAAGGAAATGATGTTCTATATTGCCAGCAGCCAAGGCAGACTCCTCCCTGCCTCTCCCTCCCACACTGGCCTGCAGCCCCCAGCCCTTGGGAGGTGCAGGTACCACCGGGGTCACCGGGTCTGGGGGAGGCCAGCTGCCCGTGGGGCCGCTCTGCATAGGGCCCAGCATCTGCCTCCTTGAGAGGAGACAGGAAGAAAAACAGAGCTTGGGAGCACACACACACACACCACACAAATGCTTTGGCAGTATGGCAGTGTGGGGAGCCAACTTTCCACCCCCGTCTGGCCCCTCTTTCCTTCCCCTCCCATTCCCCTGCACACTCCTTCAAGGCCCCTCCAGAGCATCAGCAGCCATCTCCCCTCTAACACGCAACGCTGGGCCCTTTAAGACATTTTGAGTTTCAATTCCTTTCTTCAGAGGCAGAGGAAAAACAAACCAGCTTTGCGGAAAGACTGGTATTTCACTAATGGGGTCCAGATGTCTCCATTCCTCAGACACTGGTCCTGGCTTGCAAAACAGGGCAGGGAGAGGCCACGTCCCCACTCCCCCCAGCTCCCTGCTAGCCGGGCCTTTCCCCTGACCCCACCACGCCATGTCACCCCTTGCCTTCCCAGTCCACCTCCCACAACTCTGCCACCAGCAGGACAGAGCCAGCTCCCTCATTTCCTCCAGCCAGCAGCCGGAGCACAAGGGAACAGGGAGCACGGGGCTGGGCAAAGCCTCCCCCCTCCTCCCAGAGCTGAAGATCACTGTGTGCAGCCTCTAAAAGCATGTGACAATATTTTAGGAACCGCACAGGACATGAGTCCTCAATCAGTGGGGAAGGAGAAATCCGGGATGGGCACACAGAGGGCCCTGCACTGCAGCCAGCCCTGCAGGACTGAGGTTTGGGGTGGGAATTCCCATGTTCGGGGCTCTCCAAGCAGCCCCCAAAACGCACCAACTTGCAGTTCCACTCAGCTATGGAGCCAGGTGGAAGTTGCTTCACATCTCTCCCTCAGCTGGAGATCAAGGAGCTGAATCTGGGGAAGAATCAAAAGCACGCTTCCCTTTCCCCTCTGCTCCCACTCACGGAGCACAAAGGCTCCTTTCTCAGGAGCTGCTCAGACCTCGTCAGCACTGGCTCTCCTGTGTTTATAAGGGACCCAGGCTGGCAGGGAATTGCTTTAATTAGGCAGCCCTATATCTTACCATGGGGAAGGGAAACACTACAGACCTCCAGTTGCTACTGACCCCCAAGGCTGCACACCCCCAAGAGGGGGAAAGGTCCAACCCCCATCCCAAGCAACTGGAATCCATTAACAGTTTGTGCTACAGTCCTCCCTCCCACTCCCCAGGGGAAGAACAAGGAGTTCTGGTCATCTCCACAATGCAGATGTAGCAGCTGGCTTTGATTAAACTACTTGATGTTTATAACCACTCGATCAGCGTATGTAACCTGGAGGAAAGTGAAACCTCCCCTAGCAACTCTGAATACAAAGGTTAGGGGGTCTTAAAGCAGAGATGCATTGATTTAGCAAAGACATTTAAATGCCTGATTCTTCAAGTCTGAAATCGCTGCCTGCTCATGCACAGCAGTGCTATTGCAGTCTCCATGCAGAAGGTGATATTTAGAGGCTGATTCATCACTGTATTTGTCATCATTTTCACCTGCTGAGAATGAAACAAACCCACTGATATAAACTAGATGAGAACACAAGCCCAACTACAGCTCCCAGGCACATCACCACATGCCTCAAAACACCCGAGTGACAAAAAAAAACAACACAGCAAAGGACAGAGCAGTTTTTGGGATCAGGAGCCCTAATCACCTCAATACATAATTGCAGCAAATAGGTCACTTCTCATCCCCCAGCACACGGACTGGGGCTAACCCTTGTGCTCACATCCTTACCAAAACCATCCAGCTAGTTTTCCTCTATCCAAAATAATAATCAGAGAAGACAACAACTATCTTTGATTTGCACAAGAAACACTTGACAATTATATATTCACCGTGGACAATTCTGTCTGCTGACAGAATTATTTCCTACTGAAGTAGAAAGACACCAATACCACAGCGCTAGAATTCCTAATATTCAAGATCTTCAAGAAAAACGATGGCATAGGACCATATCAATAATATTCCACACATCACCATATTTTGATCAGCAGTGTTCTGACCAAAAGAATTTCAGGAAAATGCATTAATTAGCACACTCAGTGCAGGAACGTAAGGCACAGTCTTGCTTCACAAGTTCAACAATCAAACCCTGGAGGGACCAAGTGCATTTTACCTGAAGTCAGAAGGAGCCAGAATCTGAGCTGCCCTTCAGCTCCACAGCCCCCGCTGCTATACTTAGAAGAGCCATAGCTTTTTCAAGTTGCAGAGTTGATCTAGCTACTCACCTCATCGTCCTTATACCAGGAGAGGTTCTCTGCTGTGAGGACAAACCAGTACTCCTTGGAGCCACCCTTCATGATCCCAATGTTGTTGATGGTGAGCCAGCCCTTTCGGATGACCTATGAGGTTGGAAGCAGTAAGCGTTAACAAGGGTCCTAAAAGCTTTAGGTGACAGAGTAAAGAGCAGAAGGTACTCCTACACACAGAATCATACGGAAAGACAAGGAACACCGTGCTCTCTGCTGCTGCCAGAAGAGCCCCCCACTCGACTGGCCAGTGAAAACCTTTGCCTCAAAGGGGCTAGGAATAAAAAGGATGCAGGAAGGAACCTGGCTGTGCCTTATACAGTCTGTCAAGAGGAAAGAGACACAGGAAGAATTGCATAGAGTGCCTTGTGAGCAGGCACAACCTACAGAAGCATCAGGTCACAGCAACACACCCAGAAAAAAGCATGCCCAGAGAAAAACCAAGTGAGCAGCACACCTTTTGGCACCCTGCAGGTGGGGAGTGCCTCACCCAGCTCAGGGGTGGGGGGGGAAACAGTTCAAGAGAAAGAGGTGGGCAAGCAACTCTGATGTAACTGAGTTTTGTGACAAGGAGACATTAAGTATGTGAGAACAAAATGGTGCATCTGGAATTAGTACCCTGGACTTCAGCATACCCATGTATTTGAGTAATCATGTTAACAGAGCAATACAAGTTCCTATAGGTTAGTCTGTAGAGAAGCCAGGCTGTTAGTCTCTATGGAACTCCAATTCACCATCTGCTGTTTTAGAGCCTTACACACCAATAATCAAATGCAAGTGCGCATCAGCTTAAAGGCATTAACTTCTGTGTCTTGCTGGGCCTTTAACACCCAGATACATCTGCGTGCAATGTGTGTGCACCTCAGTGAATGGGATGCTTGTTGAAAGTGACCCAGCAAAGAAAAAAAAGCATGCAACTGCATTGTGTATCAGTAAGCTGCACTGTGAGAGCAGCCTACCAAAGAGCTGCACAATCCTTCAACCTGCATCTCTAAAGAGTGAGAGTACTGGATCTTCACCTCACTGCCACTGTTAGAACTGGAGACAGTCCTATTCTCTCAACGGACAGGAGGGGGCAGTGAAACAGAACCCCAGATCCCTGGATTGCTGCTTTTCATCTCCACCCACTTGCAGATGTACCAGCAGCTCCACGATTTTCCTTAGCACACAGCACATTTATACCTTGTTTCTGCTTCACGTGGGCCTACTGCCAGCTGCACTCCTCTCCCCCTTCAGCAAGAGAGGAACTAATTTTCCTATACACTGTTCTCACCTTCCCAGATGCAACATTGATGTTCATTAGCACACCCTACTGAGCGGCCTTCTACTCACCAGGATCTCATCCTGCAAAGGGGAACCATAGCAACAGCAGCAGAGCAGAGAGCAGGAGAGGAGCAAAGAGAGGAGAAATTATTACTAGGAAAGCTGGAGCAGGAGAAGAGAGGCTCAAAAATAAAAATAAATTGGAACCTGGTGCCAAAACTTATATCCCAGGCAAAAAGAAAAGCAATCCCCATCCCAAAACAAAGCCTGCCAAAAGGAAAAGCCCAAGGATTTCACAGGTTGGTGCAGAGCTCGCCCTCTGTGCTCTGGTACAGTCAGCTCTCCAGCAAGGTGCACTGCAGAGCATCAGGCTCAATACAGCAGCACTGAGATCCCACAAAGCAGATGTTGGCCAGTCCAGCCTGACAGCCTGCCTGCCAGCAGCACTGAAACAGTCTGCATGTATGTGTGCAGGAAAAGGTGATCAAACACATTCAAAGATACTGGATATTAGGAGTGAAGGTTTTTTAAAAGATGACAAAATGAAAGCTTTTATTTCACTCTCTGTGATGGTATCCCTACAGCATCTCCTCATCTAGACAGTCTTGTCATTTCCCCAGCAAATCTAGGTGTCATTAGTTCCTTTTTAGTTGCACGTGCAATCCCTACAGCTCCTGAAAGAGTGTGGACTCCACTCCTCCCTTGTGCTTTCTCTCAATGAGCAAGTTCTCACACAGCCAGTGCAGCTATGGCTATACATCACCCTCTGTCTCCCAATGCAACAGGCTGAAGCATTTCCACTGAAGGTATCCACAAGAGAGACCATGAACTCTCTTGAAATACCTCTGCAGAAAGTAATGGCCACCAGTGGGAAAGATAACTAGGATTCACAAGTCTGTCTTGTAGCAGACCTAGCAGTAATTGGACTGGAAGAGGGAGTTCACCTCATTATTATTATCTGGCTCAAATGCGAACGCATCTACAAGACCCCAAGCATTCTGTACTCCCTGACCTCAGCAGAAGAGCTGGCACAGCTAGTGGAGGGGCTGAAAACCCAGAGAGGTATGCAACATTGATAGGGATTTCTATCAGAAAATCAAGACCAGACAGCAGGCAGTAAGCTTACTTAGTACTGCACCCCTTCTGACTGTATGAGACTAGATCTTGATTATCAAACACCCATTTACCTCTACGACACTTCCCCTCTGTTGTTGCTACACACTTGGCTCTTTACAACTGTACTGAGCCTGAAAATTCTGCTCCAGACGTAAACAGAGCTTGGCAAGTATAAAATAAAAACAAAAAGCCACAACTTAGAGCACTGCTGCATCCAGCCCAGCACTTGTCCACCTGGTAGCTCCCAGGTAACAAACATGTCCTTCTTGCAGCAGTGAAGGAGATGGAAACTTGGCCTACCTGGTTGCCAGCTGCCTTCTTCTTGCTCATCTGGCTGCTCCTCTGCTGAGCACTGCAAACAACAGTGGAGACATTCAAAACTCCTCATGCTCTTCTTGATCACCTGCAGTTTGCTCCCACCACATAGCTGTTACAGTGAGTTCACACCCCTCACCACAGGCTTCCAAGCCTTAATAACCCAATCCATCTCCACCTGCATACTCAGCCTTGGTCTACTTGTCTTTTGAATCCCACCTGAATCACATTTGGGCCACTAACCCTCCACAGCTTGACACAACCTTAATGCCCTAACTCCCCCTTCTACTTCATAAGCATCCCTAATTCTCCTCCCCAGAGACTTGGGATATGGAGCCATTGAAAAGGGAAGCAATACTGAGAGTCAAGCCATACTTCAGAACCACAGCATCTGCACCAGGGCCTCTGCAAACCATTTACTGGAACAGCTACAGGACAGAGCCACAGGAAACACATTAAGAGAAGAAGATACAACAGGGTAATAGTGCTTACTTGGCAAAGCCAATGAAATCCTCATGGTTTGTGTTCATGTAAGCCAGCTCAATGTCTATTAGAAGCATAACCTGCCAAACAGAGGCACAGACAGAGCAAGACATTAGTGACTGATACTGCTAGTAATCAGGAGCAGACAGAGCCTTGTGCATAGTTCATCTCATCAGCCCTCTGCTGCCAGTTGCCCCATGGCTCAGAGCCCTCTAACCCCGTGGCTCAGAGCCCTGTCCCCCATCCCACGTCATCTTCCCTCTTATACACTCCTGGTACCCACCTGATCTTTGGTCCTGCCTTCCCTCTCACGGATATGAGTTGTCACAATCCTCTCCATCTCCTCACGCAGATGAGGGTACTGGCTGAGCTGCAGGAGAGAGAAAACACGTGCACAAGGGAAAGGGAGGTATAAAGGCAGTGGGGAGAACAGCCCCCTGCACGTAGACATGCATACATACACCCTGCAATCAGTTTATTTTTTTTTTTTTTTTAAAGGGGAGTTCTGAAAAGCTGGACTTGCAGACAGATTTTCCAAGTTTCTGAAGGTCTGCTGAAGGCAAAATCAATTCCCCCTTGCTTTGGGCCTCAAAGAATCATCCTCCTCACTCCTACTTCTAAGTGAGACCTGCACCAAAGCCACCATTTCTGACTTGTCAGATGTGAATGCAGATTAGTTAGTGTTTGTTGATACCTTTCTCATTAAACAATTGTTCTAGATGTTCAACAGCTCATACATAGGTGAATGGCCTGTTGATACAAATAGCTAAATCCTAGGGGATGTCTCCTTGGGGAGAGAACTGGATTTCAATGCCCATTTGCTGGGGTATTAAGTGAAAGCACTACTCCATCAGCACCTGCAGGTAGAGACAGAGGTCTGGCAGAATGCAAGGTAGGCTGTGCTCTGCTCTGGGCATCCAGGTGCTGCTCTCTGCCTTTGTTGGGCAAGACTCCATAGCTCAGGTCTATATTCACATCACGCCCATCACATTCTTTTTTTCTGCGTTACTGAGAAGGGAATTAATTCCTGAGTACACTTTACTGACTATGTTTAGAGAGAAGTATCCAGAGATCATACATGAGAAACCCTCCACAATAAACACCCTTAAAGCACCCAGGCTTTCACACACTACCTGCATTTCTAACAACCAACCACGAGGTCTCAAAACCTTTCAGCACCCCTTGCAGTCAAATGAGTTGCAGTAGCTTGGAACTGAATTTGAGAACTAGCTTTGAGACTGCCTATTTTCAAATGTGGAGCTTGTTTTGAACACCAGAGACTTTGCAGAGGCAGGAAAAAAAAGCAAGAGTCAGTGTTCCCCATCACCACTTTGTCTTGGAAGTGCAAACTGGGTGTTCTCCATGGGCTTTATGGGTCGGGCAGCTGGTTGCTTCATAGATACACACAAGCAAAGCTTCCTGTTTCCTTGGGGGAAAGGAGGGTTGGCAAAGGATAAATAGGAAAGTTATGTCAAACAGAAAAACAGGAAGTTGGAAATTCTCTAAGCAAGTCCCAGCTTTTTTGCTTCAAATGAAAAAAAAAAGTCAAACAAAACACACATCAACCCTCTCCCTGCCACCCCCACCCCCCTCCATTCCAAAGACAGACAAAGAAAACACGTTATGGTTTATTCAGAACCCAGGTCATCCAGCAACATTAATGTGCAAAAATAAATTGACAGCATTAGTTCCCATGCAGCAGCAGATTCTAGCCCCAAGCATGCATAGGAGAAGCAAGGGCAGGCAAAGAAATGTGACACAGACAAGCCACAAGATATCACAGCCACCAGGGAACATGCAATAGGGCATAGAGGGACAAGGAGTTATCAGCAGTATGAACAGCACCCAGAAATGCCATGACTCTGAAAGACAGGAGAGCAGGGACCCTTCAAGGGGTTAAGTCTGTCAGCCTGGGATCACATCACAGTTCGAGCAAGTTTTCAATTCTGTTTCAGCTGGATTTTCCTGTTTGATCAAATACAAGCTCACAGCCCTCTTTGAAAACCATTTTGTTCCAACATTTTTTAGCTCCTTTCTCTGCACATTCCAGGTCCATGCCAGCACACTGAAGATCGACCTTCAGCTGAAGGGATGCTGACTTGCAAGGCCTTCCCTGCATTTGCGAGATGCTGCAGTGCAGTCTGGCACAGAAGTTCCTGCTTTTGGAACGACACTGGCTAGGATGCTATCTTCCCAAAACTAAGGCTCTGTGTGCTTGTACTGTACCAGCCTTCTGTTGATTTTGGAGCTGCTCTCCATTTAGCCCACTGGAAGAAGCTCAGGATCAGACCAGGCAGAGATGCCTGTTAATGGCAACCTGTGCTTCAGCCCTCAGCTTTAATAACCTACTGACAATCAGCTGCAAATCTCTCTTCAGACAGGAAAGCTGTGCTTCCATTGCACACAAGGAACAGATGGGCTTGCCTACATTCTTTGTTAGCCCTCTCGTATTATTCCATCTATGCAGCTTTATTAACCACACACAAAGATTTCTTCACCATCTGGGGTGAAATGAAATAATAGCGACAGCACACAAACAACACCACACAATAGTTCAGGACAGCAACAAACCAAGGCTACAGGACTGCTCAGCTAATTCAAAAGGTGTTAGCCCAAGCTGCCTTCCTTTCATGAAGCCTTGCAGGGCTTGGTTCAAAGGTTTGGTTTTGACATCTGAAAGGCAGCATCAATCCACACCACAGTGGGCTGAGTGTTACCTTACAATTAGCATCAGTCCTGAAGTAGCCTTTTCCAGATGCCTCCCCTAATAGGGCATGCTCTCATCCAGGTGAAGCAGCTAGGGCTATAACATGCAAGATAAACACTGTGAATCAGTTAATGCCCCTGTGCAGTTACTAGCCTTTGTCTGAAGCCATCAGAACCCACCTGACACTGGTTCCTAACCAGAAGGGTCTATGGCAGTTTCAGAGATTTGGCTTTCTACCCTCTTTCAGAGTGAGAAGCAGGCAAGATAAGCCTTCTTACCACACGTAGACATTTCTATTTAAATATTATTAAAGCCTTCCTTTTGTGTTTGGTTTTGTTTTTTTTTCCCCCCAATATTACCATCACTAGATATAATAATTCAAGCAATTACTTCTCAAAGAGTCACTTATCTCTAACATTTGCCTCTCCAGCCTCCTGGCTAAATTTTATTACAACCATTAGCTTCCTACAACACCCTACCATCACTTTTTTTTGTTTTTGTAGGAAATATTTTGGTTGCAACACTTCTGAATGTATCACCCATGGGTCCTCCACAACATCACGGGTTAAAATCTACACAGCTCTGGCTGTCAAGCCACTAACAGTATGACCCAATAACACAGCTGGGATTCAGTCGGTGGTGTTCTCATGATTCTTCCCCCTATACCACTACAGGGGCCATCTTCTGTCAGATACAGATAATAGTGCCAAAGAAGCCAAAGCCATCAAATAAAACCCATAAGAAGAACAGGCTGAACTGGAGCCACTCTGCCTGGCCACAGCTGTTTGGCAACAGCAGCAGTCTTTAAGAAGTACAGTGGGCAAAGCTCAGGGCACAAAGATGTCTCCTTAATGGAGGTCAGCACAACCTAAGCACAACCAGGCCTCATCAGCTTAGCTCCCACACCGACTGAGCTCATATCAGTTATCTTCCCTTCTTTCCCAATTTGAGGCTGTATGGATGGCGTCTGCAAGAACAGAAATGCAATTTTCAAGGCTTAAAATAACTAGAGAAACAGCCCTTGCAACTCAGTTCCCAGAATATGCTACTGCTGTGCCAGACATATTTCTGGCCACTTGCTCAGAAATTTAACACAAATTAATTGCCACATCTGTCCTGATTTTCAGGAGGCACGTGGTGCCCCCTCCTGGACAAAGCTGTCCTGGGAGGCAGACCCACTGCTGCCCCAGCCCTACGCAATGTGCACCTGACACCTATGGCAGTGTCCCTTCAAACTGCCCCCTAAAGCCTCACCTCCTATGCTTTGCAGTGTAAAAGGGAAAGTGTCCACACTACCTCCACTGAGCACAGTCCATGGAGTGAGGTACCAGCAGGAGAATGATGTAACGGGAGTCATGCATGAAAAAGCTTTTCCCCACCAAGTCTCTTGGGTCAGTATTCTGTTTACTCTGTGCATCTGCTGGAGAATAGCTTGTGCTTCAAGCTTGAATTGATTGCTGCTTTGTGCACAGCGCTCTTTGGGCAAGGTGAGGCCTGCTGATACTCATGCCGTGGGGGGACACAAGTTTACTCCCTCTGGCTCTTTTCCCTTCTCCTATGTAGAATTTTTAGGGAGGGGGTCCCAGCAAAAACAAGTAAGGCACTCCAAATATGCAGGGACTGGCACAGTAAAGGGCCTGTTCCACACTGAGCTGAACACCACTGAGACACAGAAAGGAAAAGGGCGCAGTACAGAGGAACCACTGGGTCCCAGCCCACATCTCAGCCAAAGAGCCCATCAGCTAATGCCCACTGCTCCTGATCCACTGCTTCGAACCTGCACCGATGCCTGCAGGTGGTTGCTGTCCTTCAGAGCACCTTTACATCCCTCCTCTCTCCCTAGGTTTGCCATTGGTGCTGTGGTGTGTGCAGAGAATCGGCACAAATGTGTGTGGGAAGGGGCTGGGCGTTGACCTTTCTTAGTGTTTTTTGTTTCTTTACCTTTTCGCTACACTTTCTGATGGTGGATGTGAGCTCACTCACTACCATATCCACACACTTCAGACTTGGCTCCTTCAACTTCTGCACCTGCTTTTTCACTATGGCTTCAAAAGCGAGGTCAGGCGTGAAGAGACCCGTTCTGCATGGCAGGGGCAGGGTGGGAGGAAGCAACGAGGAAGAAGAGAGCGAAGCAGAGAAAGAGCAGAGGAGGAAGGAAAGAGAAGGAAGGAAAAGGGAAAAGAGAGAAAACAAGGCAAAATGAGAAGTGAGATTTTGGTTCACTCCATTAGCTTACTGAACCAGGTGAGCATCGCTATGGGGCCTGTTCACTGCCAAGTATCGGGAGAGTCTACAGGCAAATGGATGTGGCAGAGGGAAGTAGGTGGAAGCACCTGGGCTGGTGAAATGGTGGGCTGTGAAGAGCAAGATGAATGGATGGCAACCCCCAGGGATCAAATGACCTCTTCCTGAAGAAAAGCTCATTCAGATTTTAAGATAGAGCTGCTTGCCACAATGAGCCGCTGACTCTTCCCTACAGGCTCACCATGCTTTGTTTCCCCTTGTCTCAGGCATTCCCCTCTACTTCACACCGTGGTTATCCTTTCCATGTTATTCCAGGCCTGCACAGGAGCTAAGCTAAGACTCAAAGATTTGTCATTTGCATCTTGTGCTGGCTGGAGGACTGAATGGAATGGATATGCCTCAGAGATTCAGATAAAACACTCCATTTACAGAGCATCGTTTGCCTTACTCGCCTTCCTGGCAACAGATAACTCCTCAGTAAGACCAGATGTAGCCAATGCTTAGGAAATACAAACAAGCTACAGGGCATGCACAGCTGTACAAAGCATATCCTGCACCAGCCAACCTATGGCACCAGACCCAGTACAGGCCTGCTGAGGTTTATATGGAGGTATTCCATGCCATTGACACTGTATGAAGTGGTCTGTATCCTCAGGGGCTCCACTATGGCACAGCAGAAAGACCACAGAAACTGCAGTTACAAAACAACATGTTGTCTTGAGACTATTACTGCATCCAAAGATGTTTCTCCAGCACATCTTTAATGCTTTAGAGCTTCTACCAGGTGCTCTCTGTGACGCAGCATAATATAGTTCTGAGTGCTTTCAGGGGGATGATGTGCCTCTGACACAGGAATGGAATCCTGCTATTACAAAGGTGCAGCTCCTAGTCAAACCTGGGGTGCATACAGCTGACAATTCAGAGCTAATTATAAACACCACTCCATTTAAAAATCAGTTATGTACCTCTTTGTATTCCTATAGATAACATCTGCAAAACCCCAAGCAACACCACTTGATAACACTCTTCAACAAGCTATAGGACCAACAGTAATCTGCCTTTTAAGCAGCAAAGAGGTTTAGAGTACACCAGAGGACTTAGCTTCACCCAGCACCCTCTCAAGCTGTCAGAGCAGCCCATTCAGAACAAACCCAAGGTACTCCTGAAGCTCTGTTCATGCCCTCAGACCTAGCAGCTATTCCTACACGTCCAGCAGCCTGCTAACCCAGCACTGTGTGCACTGCTCTGAAGGCCAGGCTCATGGGTCCTCACACAAACAAACAAAAACCCACACAACCAAAAAAAAATAAAATAAAATCACTGCCCTCACATACCTACGTACCACCTGAATGATGATATTGTTTCCTGAAATGGAAAACTGTAACCATGACTACTGGCACACACAGCAACCAGCACTGCAGTCAGCCAAATTCTTAGCAGTGGGATCGATGCTAAAGTGGAACACGGATCCTCAGCCTTTGCCATTCCCCCTTCACATTCCTGTGGTCTCTACATCCCCCCCATCTCCCAGCCTGCTGAACTCACCACCTGATGACTGGAGGAACCTGCTGCTGTCAGAACAGACAGTCCCTTCACTATTAGAATCATCAGTAAAGAAGGAACAAAAATGATGAAGAAAAGTGGGAAATGTATGGAAGGGGGCAAACACAGACAATGAGTGGGAGATTTTGAACAGTAACTGATGGATGAAGAACAATCCAAGAGAAGTTTCAGAGGGCACAAAAAGGAGAGCCCTTCTGATCCAGTTAGCAGGCAACTCTGGATACTTGGCAGCCTGAGGGCCTGTGCTTACCTGTCACCAGGCTCTAATGGCAATTTTCTGGGTGCTCCCCACAGTCACACACCCCAAGAAAGAACAGCAGGACAGAAAAAGAAAGCTCCTCCAGCACACTAGAAACCTGAGCAAACTCCCTGCATCTGCTTTGCTCTTCCAGGCTGTCCCAGGGGGCAAAGAGCGTGTCTGCATGCCTGAGCCCTTCTACAGGGGCTCTGGGCCCTAAGGGCTAGGCATCTCTGCAAGTGATGGCAGCTATCACCACTTGGGCACCTCTCCCCACGCTTGCAGGGACAAGGTAGCTCCAGACACTCCTGCAATGCCCATTTACCTGCACGTGAACAGCCCGTGGTGATTCCAGTCTCCAGCGCCCATGCTCCCATCCTAACTCGAGTGTCTTTTCACCAGCAGCCAGCCCTGGCTGAAGCAGCAAGCCATGGCTGAGAGGAATGGCACATATCTTCCTATCTTGCTGCTTTTCAACCCCAGCCTCAGAAACAAAAGCTTCTGCATCCAGAGAGCAGAATTAAGGCATGCTCCTTCCCCATGCTCCAATAAATACCAACATGAATCCCAAATGATGAAGCCTGGAGCCCTCTTGAAGAGTCCAAAGGTGAATTGACTTTCCTAACTTGATCCTTCTCAGCCATGTGCTGCTCTTCCAGAACAGGATATGGACCAAGCCAACCAAAAACCAAGCCAAACACCACAGGAACGCTTCCCCATAACCACTGTAGCCTCTGAAGTTCAGCCCCACACACCCAGCCAGGAGTACTCTGCCCTGATACCAAAGGCTTGTTTGGGATTAACCCTCCTACTTCTAAGAGAGCAGAGGGAACAAAATTTAAATCCCAGTTTCTGGCTTGGAAAATAAACTCACTTTAAATTTAAGTCAAATGTGGCCCCATAAGAAATACCCATGGCTTAGGAAGGAATCAGGAGCCATGCTAGGGACTTGGAGGCACAGAGGGGACATCTCCAGTACCCCTCTGTTCTGAAGCATTTCAGGAACAAGCCCACTGCCCACGTTTCACAGTGCTTCCCTTTCTGTTTGGCTTGTTGGCTGGATCGTCCCAGGCTGGTACCGCTCAGGTCTAGTCATGCTGAGGAGGTGGTTAGAAACACCGAGTGCCGCTGCAGGCAAATCCCTGCCCCGGTCACAATGCTGTGCCGCAGCCAGAGAGAGGGGTGGAAGGTGCCAGCTCCATGCTGCCTCCAGTTACCTTCTTGGTGCACTGTCTAACGGTATTGATTAACTCCGAAATAACCATGTCCACGCATTTCAGGCAAGGCTCTTTAATCTTCTTCACCTGCTTTTTCACAATGGTCTCAAAGGCCATGTCGGGTGTGAAGAGACCGGTTCTAAACACCCAGGGTAGGGGACAAGACAAGGCAGGAGGGGGGGAGAAGGGGCAAGGAGAACGTCACGTTACACACGTATCTCAGAGTAGGCACCACCACCACTGAAACCCCGCACACAGGGCTGGGAGCATCGTACCCCTCTGACCAGTCCTGGAGTCCAGAGAAAACAGGGATGCTTGGAACCTCCACAGAGGAGCACGTAAGGGCAAAATGGATCCCAGTTGGACAACAGGCACCAGATCCTGGTCACCTTCCCAGAAACACTCAGTGTCCCAGGACTGCACTTTCTGGCAGTTAACCTTCACTGAGGGAATGCAACTGTATTTGCTGACTGTGCCCTGGGACTCAATCCCTGGGGCTGCTGGGATGGGCACCCTAATGCTCCCTCAGATCTCCAGAGGAGGTGGTGCTCAAGGCCAGCAACTGTTTTGGATGTTGGTAAAAATGGAAGCATAATGTGAAAACCAACATTTAAAACTCAGTGAAGTAGCAGTATGAGCTTGCATCCCTCAGTCCTTTCTTACGTAGAAACAAAGAGGGACAAAACTAGTCACCAAAGCTGTGTTACCTTTCAGGCTTCTGCAATTTTCACATGGAAACAGAAAGCAAGCTACTTCGTCCCTGTTCCCAGATTCAAACCACCAGGGTGTCCAAGGAAGTTCTCTCCCTTGTAGCTGACCTACCGTACCTCTGAAGTCTTCAACTCCATTGGGAAGGTCTAGAGGTATTTACAAGACTACGCAGCCAGTGGTCTGCCTAGTGCATGATACGTGCCTGATACCATGGATGTTCTTGATGGCGTAGCTGATCTCTCGTCGCAGCTCCTTCTCATCAAACTCCATCTGCACCAAGAGAGAGTTTTTATCAGAAACAGGCTGATGTTTGCACAACCCCAGCACACGTAACAGCACTCTTTACAGAAAAGAGGTCCTGTGCCAGTATCACGTGACAGGTGAATGTTAGCCTAGATGTTGGATGCAGAGTCCAGCCATAAAGCTTGTATTGCCAAAACAGACATCCTGGACAAAAACGTACAGATAAGAATAGCTAAGGGCCTGCATTTACAGGTGCCAGCCTCCCAGCAGCTCCCAAGGAACTACTTAGAGATAAAGCAATAGGATTGAAGCACCAGATTGCTTTCCAAAACAAACTGTTTTGTCTCCTGAGGCTTAATGTGAGGTCTTGGCAGCTGTTTTCCAGCAAACGCCTCCAAGAGATTTAAAATTCACATATAGAATTGCATCATCTAATACAAGGCAGGCTCTTGTATTACACTAATAAGGAATTTAAATGAAAAAAGAAACAGCAAAATGCAGAAGACAGGGGAGAAGAATGTTTTGGCTTTTAATGTTTTCAAACAGACATTAAAAGTTTTTCTCTATCACTTCTGATCAGGTTAGTATACTTGGCCATCCAGGAAACCTCATTCATAGAATGGCCTGGGTTGAAAAGGACCTCAATGATCATTTAGTTTCAACCTCCCTGCCATGGGCAGGGATGCCAGCCATTAGACCAGTCTGCCCAGAGCCACATCCAGTCTGCCCAGATCCTCTTCAGCTATAGCTATGACATCTGTAGAGCAGGGCTTATGCCATTTCCATAGAGGAAAGGCAAAAAGTAAGGCCAAGTATATCTACATCCTCTTTCCTGCCTCTTGCAAATGCATTAGGGCAGATTTAGGCCCAGTTTGGTGCCTGAGATCATGGCAATACAAGTTTCAAAGCTGTTTGCACTTATATGCTACTCAAAGTACATATCTGCAGGAACATCCTGACATTAATGCACTATTGTCTGTGTTAAAAGAAAGTTATTTTGCACTGCCTTAGGAGTTAAGGAAAAGAAATATTAACTGGGGGATGGAAAAAAAAGCAAAGTTGTCTCACAAGGACAGGAATTAAGAGAGAAGAATATTATGGGAAGGTTCCAACAACAGAAACAACCAGAAGTAAAAATAAGGTGACAACATCAAATATTAAAAGTCAAAAGAGAGGGAAAATAGATGGTGAAACATGTAAAAAGTAGCAAGAAAACAGGAAGGAAAAGGGGAAAATCAGCAAGAAAGGAGAGAGAGGATCTCAGCATACAGAGAAACAGTACCTTCACCAGCTCAAAGGGGAAACGTTCATGGAAGATGCGGTTAATTCTGGCTCCTCCTGACAGCTCATAGGTATCAATTTGGTCTCCAGAGCCTTCAATGCGTTTCTCAAAGTCCACAGCAAACTGCTGGACCATCCTAAACAAAGACAGAAAGCAGAAAGTAGAAGACATAGCTAGGCAGTCTTTCCCAGGGAGGGACATGCAGTGAAGGCCACTCACTGAAGCAGAGCTTTGGTCTTGCGAGCAGGGTCATCAGGGCGAAAGTTCTTATACTCCTCCACCTCCTTCTCAATGGAGAGAAGCTGGCTCTGCAGCTTGTTCCGCAGCCCTGGCAGGGTGTCACGGATGTGGTTGGTCAATTGCTGTACAGGAAGAAGGTTTAAGATGATATTGGGAGAAGTTTGCTATGTTGCTATCCCAGAATAAAGGGCACAGCGGGCAGCAGTTCTCAACTGGTGATGGTACCTGGTTCAATACTTTCTGCAGGTAGGGGGTTCCCATACGATCAGCCATGTGTCTGTAGGCTGGGTGGGAGAGAAAGAACTTTCTCTCTGCAGCCAGAGCTGCCTGAATGTCCTTCTTGCCATCAATGTCCTTCTGACTTCTGTTGACTACACCAATGTAACCTGCAGGAATGGGATTAAAGATCAGGCGTTTGCAAGAATGAAAATGCAAGTGAGGCTCAGGCTGAGAAGGAAACTACCCAGGAAACAACACTGGAAATGGGAAATTTTAAGGGAAACAATTAGGGACCAACCAGAAGAGTTTAAAATTGGAATTCCTTCTGTGTGACTCAGGGTTTGGAACTTTGGTATTTATGCAGGACAGAAACGCCACTATGCAACTGAGAATTGGCTTATTGATTACTGTTTCCCCAGTCACATAGAACACCCTACTTCCATTCAAGACTTCTCCTTTCACGTCCTTAGGATAGGTATTTCATTACAGCTATGTACAGCACATAGTACAGCACAGACCAATGTGATTTCACATGATGCACTACAGTAATCTCATCAAATAAGAGAACTGGGGGGGAGTAGTACAGGAATCCCATTTTTGCAGCTTGCCTATTAAATATAATGAAGAAAGTAAAGATAAGAGCATGGGGTTATGCTTCTGCTAGCACTACCTATCAAGATACAAATACCTAAAAGTTACTTTTTCTTAAGCATGACTCATGCCTATTCCTCAGCTTCTCAATTCCGGCTTGGAACAGAGATGGCTTAAGAACACATCATAACAGATGTTCCAGTAACACTGAAGAAAAGGAATGAGACAAGGATACCTTATACAAGAGAAATGAAGGAAGATCATGAACAAAGCACGAGGAAACATACCTCTGCGAAGGGGAAGTAATTTATTTTCTAATACATCTCTAGCATCAGTTCCTTCATCCATAAGATCCAGCTTAGTGATGACTCCAATAGTGCGTTGCCCTTAATAAAAAAAAGTAGAATATGACATAGCTGATCAAGTAAATAACTGTGTAATATCTTCCTTTGTTCAGAAAGCTTACAAATTGCCCAGCTTAGCTACTCAAGGGCTCTTGAGCTCAAATGTCACAGTTCCCATAATAGTCAAGAGGTCACAACAGCAGACCAGGTAACAGAGGTCAGTTCTCAGCTATACCCTGTTCAAATACTCAGGTGTTTTTTACCACAGAGATGGATTTTAGGGAAGATTTTCCTACTTTTCTCCAGGCAGAACATAGATGACCGATGTGAAGGGAGGGAAACCCTCAACCTCTTCAGAAACAGGGCTCAAAAAAAGAAATGGGAAATAATACAGTTTCTATTAGAGTAGCTACTAACGCTCAAAGCCACCTCTCAGAAGGGCATATGTTGGTGAAGATACCACCTAAGACAATAGACAGGAGACTAAAAATGCCAAGCTAATCACAGCCTGGAGAATAAGGCTGCTAGTTAGTAATGCCACACTAAAACAAGAGATTTACCTTGAGGATCCACCTCCTTCGCAACCTTCAGGGCATCAGAATTGGCCAAATCAGAGTTGGCTGGGGACACTGCCAGGATGAGGCAATTCTCTTTGGTGACAAACTGCATAAGCATATCTCGGATCTGGAACTCTATGTCAGGGGGCTGATCGCCCACCGGGACTTTGGTCATGCCTGGTAGATCCACCAACGTCAGGTTCAGGACTGCACGCAGGAAACAGGAGATGGAACAAGTGAGTGTTAAGGTTGGATGTTCTGGTCTATAAGGAACATTCATAGCTTTAGTGCCTTCAGTGTGTTACAGGCATAACAAAAGCATACAACTCAGAAGCACAAAGTTTTTCAAATCCATTTTGTTAAAGTTGAGCAATAACTATTTGCTAACTGCTATTAGTTGTATTGTCAGTGATTCATTTATTTCCCCAGAGAACAGAGAGAGACTGCAGGTCTTTTTACAGGAAGGTCCGCACTGATGCAATAAAGTCTTTTAAGGAAGAAGTTTCTGCACATGCATCAGTTCTCTCTAAGAATAGTTCTGCTTGTAGCCAGATACTTCAACTGGCAGGCAAAGCCCTTCTAGAAACATAGCAGACTGGCAGTGTGATGCACCATAGCCCAGGCATGTGGGGATTTAAGTCAAAAAAAGAAAATTCACATTCCATTTCATCTTGTTCTGTATTTACATTATGACAGAACAGCAATCTGCCCCATCTACCCCCTGACTTCAGAGACTGCATTAAGACTCACCATGAGGAGAATAGACTCTGAGGTTGATGGGCACTGGGGAAATCCCTTTGTTGGAGCCAGTAACACGATCCGTTTCAGCCTCAATCTCCAAACGGATCTCCTCAAAATCTGTGAATTTCTTTCCTTTGCAGTGCAGGAACTCTCCATATTCTGTCAAAACAGAAGCAGAGAGTTAGAAACAGTCACACAAGTGAAAAAAAAAGAACAACCTCACAGCCAGAAGTTTAATAAAAAGTCCTGGATTAAAAAGAAACATAAGAACAGTTAAAGGGATAAGTGTGGCAAGGAAGGGTCTTTCTCCCTAGATCCTATGTGGTTGACAAAGAAATTACTGCAGCCACAGTTGCAGCAACATCTGAGAGCATCTACAAGCCCAAGACCTTCCCAGTCCAGCTCTGGTCTCAGAGTTTGCATCCTCACTCATGTTCATTCAAGAAATAACCCAAGACTTTATTGATATTAAGCAAGCTTAACACAGACCTGCAACTTCCACAGATGGACTGGGAAATATTGTATTGACAAGAACTTGGAGCAGCTCTGTATTAAAGTAGTGGAAGTAAATAACAGTTGCATGACATGATGAGAACAGACAGGGAGTTTCAAAGTAACAAAAAGCCCTTCTAACACAGTTTTGAATTGGTTGGTAGGTTTTTGTGTTCGTTTTGGTGGGGTTTTTTTGGTCTTTGAATATGTTAACCAATTCAAGAACCCTCCATTTCAAGCGAAAAGTCCTCACAAGTCAAGTTGCTTCATTATGGTAGTCTAGAGGACTGTTGTAAACAGGTCAGGTCCACCTGACAAGGGAGGAAGAACACCTTGAAACGGTCTCTTGCCAACTCCTCAATGAGATCTCATGCTTGAAGGGAACAGTAATGAAAGCACTCCGCAAGCAGCAGCCAAAGCAGTGAACAGCCCACAACTCCAGTCACAGAACTCTGCAGGAATTCCTCTTCAGATCCCAGCGTTCTCATACTTGATTTTAAGTGCACTAGAATCATCCCACCCGCTTATTTCGTGGGGCTATAAGCAAGTTCCTCTAGTTTTTGGGTCATACCCACTCAGAAGAGTCACAGCTGCACAGACAAAGGAAAATCATGATGAGCGGATTCATGAAAAGCTGCTTAATTCAAACAAAATAACTGAGAAGTGTTCTCTTTCTGAACATTTAACGCATCAGATGTTGAGCAGCATCACTAATGAAATAAGACCTGTCAAGGATGGGAAGCCAGCAGCACACCGTGGACACACACTGCATACCTGTGCTGGCGTTCACCAGCTGCAGGACCAGAGGACGCCTGGTCACGATGCCAGAGCCACGTGGCAGAAAGTCCCTGAAACGAAAGAGGAAATTTCAGATGAATGAGCGATCGTTTCCTTCCCTATCCACGGCTTTTCTGTTTCTATGAGCACTCGTGGGTCCCAGCAAGGCACTCCAGCCATGGCTCTGACAGAGCCTAAGGCACAAAAGACCAAGTGCCCTTCCCCAAGAGGACGGAGCATTCTGAAGAAGCCCATGCTCACAGCACGCTCCCACTAGCCCTGTCTCTAGCAGTTAAGGCTCCTTCAGATGAAGTTCCAGGCTAACAGGAGAGACCAATTAATACCACTATATGTACAATGGAAAATAATTAATTTCTATGTCATCAGGCTGAGAAATTGAAGCAGAGACTGAAAACTACCGTGCCTTCTTTTGACAAAATACAATTACCTCAGCTACAACAAAATCACCCACACTTTGGGGTGTCACAGGACACTACTGTGATAGCACCCAAACAGTACATCATCTATTTGAAACAGAATAAATAGCAGTTAAAGGTTTGCTTCCACTCAGGGCTTCTCCCAACTAAGAAAATGCAAATATTGCCAAGGCAAAAGCAGCCTCCTAAATTCACAAGAACCCCAAATGTTACAGTTCTCCAAGTCATTTCAAAGGAAGGAAGCCTTTTGTTACCCATCCCCTAATGCTGACTTCACACCCACAGGCTCCAAGCTCTCCTTTGCTTTTGCTTTTTTCGAACCCAAATGCTTTCAGCAAAACCAGGCACTCTCACCACATCTTCTGATGACCTTGCCAGTTTGTGGCCTGGTTTCCAAGTACTCAGCTGATTCATGTGCTTCTTCAGAAGTCACTGTGAACACGATCTGTTTGCTTCCCTACCTACTGGAGAAGCACTGCTTCAGAACGTGCTGTCTGTGGCATGACTGTGTCACCTCTGTTAGACGCTCTGCCTGCATTGCTTGCACTCTGGTACAGTCCTCCCCCTACTGATAGGTGTGACAATGCATAATTTTGCCAATTCACTAATAACTATAGGAAAAGAAATCCATGCCCTTTAGTGTTCTGCACCACAGCCTTAATTCTGACAATGGAAATGAAGATCAGGAATGAGCTTTTGTGTTTTAACACATCAGGCAGTGAGCAGACTTGATTTCAGCCCCTGGTCTCACCACTGATGGCTTATGTAAACCTGCAAGGAAGTAGGAAAGCACGTGCATTTCCCTTTTCCTCAGCTCTAAACTGAGTACTATAAAAGGATGCAGAGTGGTTTCAAGCAAAAGGAGAGCAAGGAGCATCCTACAACCTCCAGTGGTTCAAAAATATCTCCTGCAAGTTACTGAGCTTACTGCAAAGTGACCTCTGACAAAACTCTACCACAGACTGTAACCCATTCTCGTTATTTTAGATTTCCAGAAACACAAGGAGTTAACTGGGATCTTTCATTTGTTTTTCAAATAAATACAGCTCTATTTTTTTTCCATTCCAGCGGGATTAACCCTGGAATCTTTGAGGCATTGCATCATTCAGGCAGTTTTCTGCTGTCTTAGCTCCATTCCTATGGATGTCTGTGGTCAATATGTGACAAAGTCCTACTCTTGCATCAGTTCTTTTAGCATAAGAACAAATCCAAGCTGTGCTGATTTATTGTTACTTTACTGTAGGTAAGAAAAAGGCATAGTTCTACTACAACTTTGCTTTCTAGTGCACTAAGGCACTACTCTAGCTACTGATCTCCAGCTTGCAGCATTACATTCTACCTCACTGTAGGAAAAACACTACTTGCATTTATAAGCATGAGTCCTTTAGGAATTAGGATCTCCCTGATGATGTGCTCCATCTTCCCAAAGCTTTCTGCTTTGGTCCCAAACCCGATTTCTCCATGGTTTTTGTCACAGCTCAAAGCAAAGGTGGATGAGAAAACCTCTGCAGCATCCAGATCCTGGCATCAAAGGAAACTGAAACCACTTACTGCGTCAACCGAGTGGCTTCCAGGCTATTGCAAGGGAAAAACAACAACAACGTCCTCACAAAAGATGCAACACTAAAAAAATAAAGAGGATTTTAAAAAGTCGGAGTCATTTTTCAATAAGCTTTCCTCTGAACAGCAGAAGAGATACCAGGAGTACCTCCAATAGCACAGTGATCATAAAGCCAACACATTTCTGTTTGTTATTAACCCCATCCTTTGAAATATGAATTGGCCATGTTTTAACTACATATTTCCCTTTTTAGAGTCATTTGTCCCAGAACTGCCCGCTGTTTAAGTTCAACCTTTACATAACAAATATCACTACTGGAGTTTTCCCTCAGTTTCTCACCATGCAGAACTCCATACTACCCCACTTTGGGAGCCTGGGCTTGCCTACCTGCAGCATCATACCACTGTAGTTATGTTAATGTTAAAGTAAGTTAGTAGAAATAAATACACAGTAAGTTATTTCAGGAATAAAGCCACATCATTGCTCCTCCTCCAGGAGGTCTCTCTTCCCAGTGAAACTCAAGGTTAATTACCCAAATCTATAACGAGTCAGCTAAATGAGTTATCTTAGTACTTACATTCTGAACATGTACAGTTTGATCCCTTATATAAGAAAACTAATGTGTTCTTACCCACAAGCTACTGAGACATACATACAGTTCAGCTTCCAGGTTTTCCCATAGGAGAAAGCCATAGGAGCTCCAACCAAAAAGCTTTACAGGTATTCACACACTATCATCCCATCACATCCATATTATTTCTTATTATTTTATTCCCCATCCTTTCTCTTTAGCGTCTCTGGAACAAACCCTTTCATCCTCCTGCTCAGGCTAAGCCTTGCAGATCAGACTCTTAAAAAGTACAGATCCATAAATTCTGTGCCTGGTTGGATGCCAGGAGAGCACACTGTACAGCAGCCTTGCTTGCCCCCTTGCAGCAGGCATAATAAATTGCTTCTTGTAAAGAAACTATAACAAAGCATATGGGGCATGGACAGCACACCCAGCCCAGGTTTTGAGTCCTTTCAGCAGCCAGGGGAATGGATTTCTCCTGAAAGAGCAGCACCAAGTGATGAAACGAAGCCAGACTCAGGAGAGGGATGCACGAGATAAGGACACGCCAGCTGACTCAGGCAGATGAGAGCAGAAAGGTTAGATAAAGTGGCTTGTTCCATTCCAGCAAGGAGACATTACACTAAAGCTGGGAGTGGGGAGGGGAAAGATGGAACACTTCTTTAGAGGTAACATGCTGCACAACTGGAATGATGAGGGCAGCAGGGATTTCCCTACCAGAATAAGGCAGCCTCCATGGCAGCACCAAGAGCAGCCCTGCTACATATCCACTATACAAGATGCTGTGCCTGAAACGGGCCACTCATTAGGCTACCAGTACCAATTCTTTGCCATTTACTTTATAACTTAAGAAAGAAAAATTTACTTTATTTTCCTGTTTTGTTCGTAACATGCAGGAATGACGTGATAGCATTTTATTTTCTGTGCCTTTAAGGCAAGAACATCATCCTGTGCCACTTCCCAATGCTAAGTTCCACCCAGAATGAATAATAAAGTAGCAACTAAAACTGATGCAGAAATGCTGCATTTAGGAAATAAACAAATCTGCTTATCTTCCATTTAGGTATAGACTTGAAATTCCTCCTTAAGATATCGAGGTATCACTTACAAGCATTTTAGCTGGGCTCAATGAGCTCCATTCCCCAAACTGACACTTACTGGAAGAATTCAGTACATACACTTCATACCCTTGGTAGCTAAATTCTGGTCTGACTAGCAATACATCTCCTCTCTAAACTAGGGCACAAAAAGAAATGAAGATGCAAATCCCAACGGGTCTCAGGCTGAAAAGGTTCAGCCAAGGAAAAGACCTGAGAAGGTACTCACTGTTACATTATGCACTGCTCATTTCTGAAGCACATCCTGCATATGTTCTCAACTGGCTCCAGAGCTGCCCCGGGGCAAACCCAATCACATCATCCCTTACAGTCTTATTTCTATTTTAGTACACAGAGCTGCATTAAAGTACAGATTTGAGCTGAAAACTGTATTAGTAATAGAGCAGTCAAAAAAACTATCTGAGGGACAGAAAGCAATTGAGTAGTTACTCTACAGCAACACTTGGACAAAATCTGAACACACAGAGATTCTCAAACATTAAGGCAATCTGAATGTCATATAATAAATATTTATTATGGAGGCAACAAGGTGAGGCTTCCATACTAGTTTTTTTAAATTAAAGCCAGGCAACCTATATGATAATCCTCCATGCATGAGGTATCTTGGCATCCTACAGAACAAAAAGGTGCTGTTAATGACAGAACAAGCAGATATTCATCAACAAGTTCCAAGGTTCATTAGATGACTGACTTGGTACAGAGCATCAGAAGTTACAGGTAACAAGGATCAAAGATATTGATAACACACAGGAGGGAAACAAATTGCTTGTGGCATTAAATATAGATTGGAATCAAAGAGAACCGATAAATCATAAATAACAGATGGCAGTAACAGAAGCCCCTGGTAGTCAATAAAGGAAGCAAGTCCATACCACATGGAAGAGGGACCCAATGGCTCAACCACCACCTGCTTTACTCTTCTGCAGGGAAGCTGGGAAGACGTCTGTAGAGAGCTCAAATACAAATCTAACCCTGATCTAGATCCACCAATACAGCATCAGTGCAGTTCATTTGTCAGTCCTTTGAGATTCTTGGATTAGAATGCACTAGAGAAGGTAAAGCCCCAATTAAAAAAAAAAACACAACAAAGCAGCAGCTTATGAAGACATAACAGGAGTCCAAATAACAAGAGAATGAACACCATCTGATCATTTAATTTCCATTTGATTTCTTACTAAACATCTGCAGACAAGGTTATTAAAGGATGTGATTAATCTCCAGTTCAGATTATTAGTTTCAGACAATTAAGACTCACACAGTATCCACAGTTTCACATGGCTGTTCCTGGTTTTTAAATCCAGTATTTGTTATTTCCTGTGTTACAGTGGCACAATTCAATCAGAACTTCACTGCACAAAGCACTGCGCCAATTCACAGCATGAAT